AGTTCCTTTATAGCCCAACATTAGCCTCCTTTAGCTTAGCGGTGGTGACGTGAAGTCATGTGACCATGCTTTTCCACGATGAGGAAAAACTTCAAGTTTAAAGAGTCAAGACATTTTTTTCCAACGCAAGAAGACATAGCCTACATTTGAAATGTAATGAACATAACAATTGCATGATCATCATACATGCTAATCTTATTTCAATAATTAGATTATTAAAGAAACACCAGTGGTCCGTTAATCCCAGTTAAATCTACAAAATGAGTCTGAATGGCCTACATACTGTGTGTAGATGTTTTTTATTTATTATGTCATTGTTTATTTAACAAGTCTATTCCTCCTAAAGTTATTGTCCATAAAGCCTTTTTTGGTGGCATTTATTTGATCCTCAAGCATGTGCCAGAATATTTGCACACCGCACAACACTTTCCCTTATGCAGTGTTTAGAGGGTGTTCCCTATGCTAATAATAGATGCTAGTTCAGATCAAGTGTGTGTGGCGTAGTTGGTTGTCCGTAGGTGTTCGAATCAGGGGGTCACAGGTTCAAACCCCACTGCAGTCAGCATGTCGTTGTGTCCCTGGGCAAGACACTTCACCCCAAATTGCTCCTGTGGGGATTGTCCACAGTATTGAGTATGTAAGTCGCTTTGGATAAAAGCATCTAACAAGTAACATGTAATAATAATGTAATAAAAGTGAACTTGTCATTTAGCTCCCCTGGGTAGAGTAGATTTGGATCGTGAAGAACATTTGGTGCATCTGGAAAAGACTTCTCTTATGTCTTTTCTTACCAGAAGTTTAAATGAGCATGAGGCCAAATGTCTTTCTAAAAGTTTCTTGCTCTGTGTTTCCAGATAAAGCAGTTTGAGTCTGATCTACAGGACAATCTGTGATACTGCAGGTATGATTTGTCAATGAGACACCTTAAAGGTGCCCTATTATGCACATTTCCAGATTTCATAATTGTATTTTGTACATGATTACAATGCTTTAATGTTCAAAAAGTGCCTTATTTGTCTCATATTGACGTCTAATAAGTGCAAATACTATGTTAACATGCCATTTCAACCAAGATCCATCAATATCTCGGTTCAGACTCATCTCCGGTTTCTTTCCAGATCGTTCCAGAAAAAAAATGGAAACTGGGATTGGTAACAGCTGGGATTGGACATTTCCAAAAGAGTTGTTGACAGGATCATGAACTGTATTGGACTGACTCTCCTCCACCTAAATCTGTCTCTTATCTGCCCGTCACTCTCAGTTTGATTTCTCTTCTGCGGCACCACCTTCAGTTCTGGTTTCCAATCCACAATGACGACAAAATCCCCAATCTGTTCCTGGTACATCACTGTGCTCCATGCCAACATGCTATTATATTATTTATTATTCTGTAGGCATAGCCAGATAGACAAAACATACATTTTCTCTACCAAAAGATTAAATTGGCCCCGTTTATTGCCCTTGCTCCGCTGTTGGACTCCTTTCTGATTAATGTTAACCAAATCAGCGATGGAGCAGCTGGCAGCTCCTTATTACACCCTTAATTTTCATTAGGTGTGTTATAATAATGATGTGTAACCAGATGTGTACAGGAAGCCATTGTGGTTCTGTGAGCACAGGTGTATGACTCTCTGGGTGAATTATATTTGGAAAATCAGTGTTAAGTGATTGACAGACTGGCAATTTCCTGAAATGAAGATTAACTCTTGATTAAAATTGCATGTAGTGCATATAAACAACTGGGAAATAATTTGGTGTAGGCTAGCTAACAGCTGAGTAGCTAAAAGAGTTTCTACATGTAAGCTAACAGCTGGTTTAGGTTAGCTAACAGCTCAGTAGCTAAAAGAATTTCTACATGTAAGCTAACAGCTGGTTTACGTTAGCTAACAGTTCAGTAGCTAAAATAGTTTGTTACATGTAAGCTTACAGCTGGTTTACGTTAGCTAACAGCTTAGATGCTAAAAATAATTTATATATGTTAGTTTACACCTGGTTTACATTAGCTAATAGCTCAGATGCTAAAAGAGTTTCCACATGCAAGCTAGCAGTGGGTTCTGGTTAGCTAATAGCTCAGTAGCTAACAGAGTTTCCACATGCAAGCTAGCAGTGGGTTCAGGTTAGAAAATACAGTAGCTCAAATAGTTTGCTACATGTGAGGTAGCAATTGTTTTGGTTTGCTAATGGTCTAGCAAAGAAAACTGATTTCTTAATGTTAGCTTAGCAGTTTTGCAACAAAACAGTTTGTAGAGGTTTGGTCGGTTTAGCAAATAAAATAGGAAATTGTCAAGAACACAGTTTAGTCAATCTTAGGGCCTGTTAAAGGATGTGTTTGGTTAAAGTTGCTGGTCCTGGTTTAATACATAAAACAATGTAAGAGTTCAGTGGCTAAAGCAGTATGCTAAATGTAAGCTAACGGAACCGCTAACAGTTGGTTAGCTAACAACAGTTTAACAGAGGAAATCTTTGGGTTTAGCTCATAGACTGTATATATAAAGATTTAGCTTCTTAAGGATCAGGATTTTGTTCAGTTTAGTGGCTCAAACAACTAATTTAGTCATCTTTGAATCAATAAACTCCAAGAAGTGGTCAACATTTGTCATCAGCATTAAAACTATGGGTTTACTGTGTAGTTTTCTTGTGGAGGTCCATTCAATGCTGAAGTCTAACTCTATAGCGTTGGGTTTGCAATAACTGGAATGGTGGATATACTATTTGTCTCTTACTTTTAATTGTAAATGCATATTGGAAAAATCCATAAAATGGCAAACTTTTGGCTTCAAAAAGGATGCCGTTTAATTTCATTTACGTCCATGAAACAGCAGGGAGCAGGGGTGTCAAACTCAAATACACAGTGGGCCAAAATAAATAAATGGGTACTAGTCGAGGGCCGGACTGGTTCAATGTTTATTGCAGAACTTATTGAAATGAACTTATTGCACATATTAAACCTGGAACTAACAAAGCTTAAATTATTGCCTATAAAAACAACATTAAACATTAAATAATCAGTTGCATTCATTTCTTATGGCTCCATCTGCAGCTTTTCCAGAGTCATTTCTTATGATTAGATTTCTCCACAGGCCAACAACAGCTTCAAAAAAACAATTTCCCTCGAAGAAAAAACCAAACATGCCCTGTTGTCTCAAGAAAGAAAGTGCAGAAGGAAACATCCATGTAAACTCAGTGTGCTGCTCTGTGATGCTAGCTCAAGCCAGATACTTGGCATCTCATCTTGGGTGCAAGTTCATCAATGTTTGGGCTCAGGGTCTGAGCTGAGGAGACCCTCAGGATTGAGTGAAGGTGTGCGTGCAATATACCGGCGGGCCAGATAAAAATGATCCTGCGGGCCGAAATTAAATCCACCAAGGGCCTGATTTGGCCCACGGGCCTTGAGTTTGACACATGTGATTTAGAGCTTCTGTATTATATTGACAACTATTTACAAAATTGCCATGACATTTAGTTTAATCATTCATGTTGCCCAGAGAAAGAAAGTGAATGCTGTTGATACCCAAGGATATTGGTCAACAAATAGGGATGCTTTTTGCCGTCCAATATCCTGTTTTTAGTCATATCTTCTGTGTCATACATTACTTACCATTTGATGACAGCTTGTTTGTTTCACCAGATTTATCAAGACTGGTTTTATGGAGAGCAAATCCACTGAGCTGTTGTCCAGTCAAATGCATAAATCCAGCATTTTTACCCAGCTGGATAATATGGACGACTGTGACTGACTGTAAATATGTTTAAAGCGTTCATGTACAAATATTTGTTGGTTTAAAAAGAGTCTCTTGAAAACGATGTATGTGTACATTAGTGGCTCTTTATACTAACTTTTAGGTCTTAATAGGTTTTAATAAGAAATCCTGTAACTGCAGGTAGAGAATAATTTCTGAAAAAACTGCATTTAGCTTTTCTGTTTCTGCTGTTGGTGCTTTTGTGTTTGTCCTCAGCGCTAAATGTTATTTCAATGTGATTGTAGTAAAGGTATTTTTCATAAAATTGGTGATTGGTTGTGGCTTTTTATGTGTTGTAATAATATAATTCTATATTAATGTGTTTCGTCTTTTAAATGTGGATAGTAATTTGGTTTAACGGTATTCTTTACCCCCAAATGTATTATTTGTATCAATGAATCCCCCAGTTGACCTTGGTTTCTCGCATGCCTTCATGGTAATCCAAATCTTTTTTTTAAGTTATCGTGAGAATACATTATTTTGTGAGTATATGACTGAACAAATGAGACTTGGGTCATACTGCCCAAGCTGTGTGAGACATTGAGAACAGATTTCTTTATAGACTTCTTTGGAGGCATGTGAGAAAAATATAGTTTAACATTGAATTAAAGTAAACGCAGGGTGAGAAATCGATATATAAAAATCATATTCAGAGTAAAAATGTCTCTAATTGTTTTTAAAAAGCTGGTATTTTCTCCAAATGAAGAACACGTGTCAGGTTGAATAGGTATGTGTTCAAAGCATTTTTTTTTTTATTGCGCTGAAGTATCTTTTACTCTTAAATTAACTTAAATTTGAATACGTTTAACTACTTTATGAGACACCTTCTTCATAGGCCGAATGCCTCATGATTCACTGTACATATTTAAGAAAATATATAGAATAATGACACAAATAATAGTTTCAAAACAGTTTCAAAATGTAATGGTTACTCTTTGACCCATGCTACATCCTTCCACCAACTTTCATGAGATTTGAGCCAGTATTATTTTCTGTTATCTGCCCAAAAGGGCCACGTTTAAGACCATATTTAACTACCATAAAAAGTTAATTAACATGACATCCCTCCTGTTAAATAAGAATAACTGTCAGGCTGTATATATAATATATTGCTAGTGTTTTAGTTAAGTCAGCCTTATTGTGTATGAACAGTTTAATCACATGTTGTTGACTGAAGGGAAGCTGCACTCTCAGCTTTAGGGTTATTGATTCATTCGAGCCACGACGACCTTTAACCCCAGATCTGTTTGTACAGTGCATGCTGGGTAAGTTGAGCAGAGGGATGGTTGGATGAGTTTTGGGACGACGGCTGCAGCAGACAGGTAAGGTTTCTCTTACAGACATTACTGCCAACACTGCATTTTAAAATGTATGTACTTTTAGAGTATCACAAGTATTTACATTCCTCCTTGTTGCCTTGTTTTCCTGCAGAGTTTAAAGTTACTCAGTCTTTGTTTTGGACAGTAGTAGGTAACAGTACATTTACTCGTGTATTATAGTGCAATATTGAGTACTTTGAATACTTGAGTATTTTCTTTTCATGCCTCTTTAAACTTTTACTGCAATACAACTCAAATGGGAATGCTGTACTCTTGACCTCAACATATCTATCAGCTTTAGTAACTTCAAGTTTTAAAAACACAAAATGTAACCGATATTTTCATAAACAGCAAAGTAAATTAATCAACCAGCGAATTGATAAATAATGAAATAGCATCTATAAAAAGAGATTTTCTATATATATTTTTTTATAATTTAGTATTTTTGGGGTGTTTTTTTTTTTAATGATTTATTATTTCCTATATATTATTTTCTATGGTTAATAATTTTAGTATAGTTTTTTTTTATTATACCTTTACTTAAGTAACATTTCCAATTCAGGACTTTTAACAGAGTACTTTTAGAGTGTGGTATTTGTACTTTTACTTAAAGGTCTCCTACAGTACCATGCAAAATGCACTTGTTGATGTCTTGTATACATCAATACGTGTCCCCGGTGTGTCAGGGAACTCACGCAGCATTAGAAAATAAAACCCTCTCTCTTTTCCTCCGTACCCAAATCTCTAAAAACGGGGGAACAACGGAGCTGATCCAGATTTGCGTCCGATATGACGTAATATCTGAAATGTGGACCCACGGCCCTATCAGAAACGTTGCTATCAGAAACAATGCCCGACTGTTTTGGACGTAATATGGTCTGTGTTTACATTAGCATCGCTAACACTCAGAGCTAACCTGTACTGGAGAGCATGTGTGTGAAGAAGCAGGAAATAAAAAGGAACTCACCTTGTGGTATAACCGGCAAGAGAGAAAGCCTTTGAGCTCCATACTGTTTCAGAAACAATCCTTGATAATCCATGATATGGCGTTTCATCACGGCAGCATTTAGTTTAGACAGTAGCTGCCGGGTCCCGCATGGGCTCAGCCCCCTCCTTTTTTATTAAAGCTTTATACCCCAAATCAGCACTTTTGAAACAGGAAGTGAAATAGAGGGATATGAGGCATGGCTAGAATGATCTGTTTGGTATTTTGAGCAAAACACTTCATAGACGGGTTTTTTATATATTTTTATATATCTGAGACCTATGCTAAAAACTGAATTTGTTCTGGTGTCTGGATATGACTAAAATAAACATTTTAATATAAAATATCTAAGTGTTCTCTTTGTTTTGTATATTTTTTTACAAAAAGCCACACTTGTGAAAGTTTGACAGTTGCTGGGGAATGTGAGATTTTGGGAAAAACACATTTGGAGAGTCAAGGGTCAAATGGCTGAAAGTCCTTGAACCGGTTTGTTTATCTAAGAAACACAGAGAAGTTTCTGCAGCTCAACCAACCATTGTTTTAAAGGATAAACAGCAACATTTTCATTTTCATTTAAGTCAACACTTTGGTGTTTCTCAATGTCGAGGACCCTTTCTTGGTAGGACAAGTCCCTCCGAGTCAGGTCCTTCAGAAGCGAGGCAAGAATCCTTCCAAGCCTGGGAAAACGAATAATGGTGGAACAGGCTAACAGGCTAACAGGCTAACAGGTGTGCAGGTGTGCGTCATATGCGAGGCCCCGCCTTAAATGGAGCGCGATTTCCGCCAAAGATTTTGGAAATTGGTCCGTGCGCAAAGCATTGTGGGGATTTTAAGACCGCGGAGTCTACACATGTGCAGCCTCGAAATTTCCCGCAACGAAGTATGCCAGCCTCGGTACAATTCCAAGCATCCTGGACATTGGAACAGTCCTTCGGCGGCACTCGATGACGTAGCATCCTTGAAATAGTGGCTTTGGAGCAGCCTTCCTCGACATTGAGAAACACCCTTTATCTCTTGAGTATGATATTCATATATTGTATGAATATGATCTGTTTGCATCTCAAATATGTATCTATTATTACAATAAGCAGTTCTTTATTTCACTGCACAGCATTTCGTTTTACATTCAGCTCATCTTATACTTGTATATAGTTATAACATCCTCTTACACTATTTTATTTCTACTCTGTTTCTTCTTGCACTTTTTGTATTTGTTACCTGTCTTATATTTATGTTGCTCTGTTGGACGAGCCTGGGACTTCAGTTTTTCATTGCATATCTACACTGTAGCTGTATGACTGTAAAGCCCTTTGAACCTTTTGAATTATTTTCCTTGTAGACAAATCACCCAATTATTTCCTTTGAATAATCGAATAATCCTTTGGTTTATAAAAGGTCCTCACCTGTCCTCAGAATCATAAACAGGTCTATCACCAGGTAGGTTGACACGTACAAGGAATTTGACTTGATGTCATGGTTACAAAAATTAAAAACACAGATAGAGAACTATTTTAAGAAAACTATAAAAACATAAAAAAATAATACAAAATATAGTAAACTATAGCAGTATTTACATAGAAATAGAATGGAATCAAATATGTGCAGTAATAAAAAAAACTGATATTGTGTAAATGAATGTCCTAACCTGTCCTCCCCTCAGGGGTGGGAAGTAATGTAGTACAAATACTTCGTTACTGTATTTAAGTACATTTTTCTGGTATCAGTACTTTACTCCACTACTTATTTTCCTGACGACTTTTTACTTTGACTTCTTACATTTTGAACACAAATACCTGTACTTTCTACTTCTTACATGTTGAACACAAATACCTGTACTTTCTACTTCTTACATGTTGAACACAAATACCTGTACTTTCTACTTCTTACATTTTGAACACAAATACCTGTACTTTCTACTTCTTACATGTTGAACCCAAATACCTGTACTTTCTACTTCTCACATTTTCCAAACAGGCTGGTTCCTTTAGTTTGAATGTGTGTTTGGTGGCGTGATCATTATTATTTAGAGTCATTGCGTGCCTATTGATTTGAACACGATCCGTGTATCCATCATTTCCTGGTCTTCTCTAAAGAAGAGGGACCAATGAAAACGTTGTCATGTTGCCGTTGTTCAGCATGGAAACATTCATTAGCTAACAATGACATTATTGTTCTATTAATATAAAGGGAGGTCAGGTACTCTTTAAAACAGCTGCTAGTTATGGGTACTTTTTACTGAAGTACATTTCAAAGCCCTCTTTACTTTGACTTGAGTAAAGAAGTTTAGTCAGTACTTCTACTTTTACCAGAGTATTTTTAAACACGAGTATCTGTACTTCTACTTGAGTAAAGGAAGTGTGTACTTTTGCCATCTCTGTCTCACCTGTCCTCAGATGATGTCAGAGTCCAGCCCCCTCACGTCTCACGTCCTGAACACAGCAGACGGGGTCCCGGCGGCTCGTCTGCCCCTCAGCCTGCACAGACTGGACCCCCGGATCATGATCTGGACCCTGCTGAGTGTCGGGTAGAGACAAAATAACATCAAATATTCATTATAAGTCATTTAGGAATTGTTACTAAACGTAGAAAACAATCGTCTTTTTTCTAGAGATAGGTTTAAGGGTTTGTGACAAAACCTCAGGAGAAGATTCTTTGTTTGTTTAAAGGTCACCTATCGTGCAAAATGCACTTTTTTATGTATTTTATACATAACTATGTGTCCCCTGTGTGAGACTCACAAAGTGTCAGAGAATAAAACCCTCTCTCTTTTCCTCCGTACCGACATCTCTAAAAACGGGGGAACAACGGAGCTGATCCAGATTTGCTGCGTCATGACGACATTAATCAAATGTGGGCGGGCTTTAAACCCACGGGCCAATCAGAAACGTTGCTGTCAGAAACAATGAGACGTGTTTTGGAAGTAATATGAGAGAATATACAGAGAGAAAAAGAGTTTGAGCTCCATACTGTTTCAGAGAGAATCCTTGATGTGGTTTGGAACATGATATGAAAAATATATGAAAGACCCAAAGGATCAGAGTCCTTTAAGGAACGTCATAACTCAGCAGTTTTATGATTTTTAGGACTACAAATGAAGATGGCCGCTGCGCAGGGCTCATCAGCAGAGAAGCGTTCGGCCCCGGGATGTACAAACTGCGCTTTGAGACGGGATCGTACTGGGAGAGTCTGGGTCAGAACTCCTTCTACCCGTATGTGGAGGTGAGATTCAACATCTATTCATCTGGAGCAGGAGAATCTATAAACTTAGACATGGTTATCAGCTGCTGTCAAACAAATACATGTATATACGGTTTCATATGTAGTGTCTCTCCTGGGACATGTCTCCATGCTTTAATGTTCAAAAAGTCCTTTATTTTTCTCATACTGCCTGTGCTGCAGCATCTCTTTTCACCCTCTGTCTGAAACCAGAGCCCAGTCTTTGCTCTGATTGGTTAGCTGGCCGGCTCTGTTGTGATTGGTCAACCGCTTAGAGATGTCCCGCCCCTTAGCCGATCACGTACAATGTGTTGGAGCGCTAGCCAATAGGAGCTCGAGTGTTACGTAGTGATGTAACCTTAAAAAATGTAAAAAAATAATTCTGGATTATGTTCTGAATAAACCACAATATTAATTTCTGGTTTAACCTTTCTGGATGTTTTCTTTTTATGTTTCTTTTTTGAATTAATCTAAGAATATGCGTTCACATAAGGTTGTTTATTTAATATAGTAATAGGTTGTTATTTTTGTTATTGGTAAGTAATACATTATCGCAGACACATCTGAAAAAAAACGTGTTTTCCCAATTTTTTACCAAAGATATAAATATATGCACGTATTTAAAGAATTTCCCAAATTGGGATTAATAAAGTAAATATCTACTTATCCATCCATATCAAGTTTGACAAGACAAAGGGACATTTACTCAAAGAAAGTTAGAATAACATTTCCCCGTAGTGAACAGACATGTGTCTTGTTTAGTTGGACAGGTTGTATTGTGGACCTTTGAAATGTATAATTAAATATTCATGCTGTAACGTGTCCTGCAATTTAATAACCAAATACCCTTTGGAGGTGACCAGTAACCAGAGTTGGGTGTAACGCGTTACTGTAATAATATTACTTTTGTCGGTAACGGAGTAGTGTAACGCGTTACTTTTATAATTCAGTAATCACACTACAGTTACTAACATTGCCCCGACACGCGTTACTTCGTTACTTTTATAAAATCATCATAATCACACTGACAGACAAGAGGGGTTTCCGCCGCAGGTTTCTATGTACGTAATCGCGCGCTTGCGCGTCCACATCTCCACGTGCAGTGCTGCATAAACATGGCAGAGTCAGCGATAACTTTCGAGGGTGGAGGTATGCCCATTATTTTGAGTTCGTCCGAAGAATAGACAGAATGTGACGGTGAGGTGCAAACTGTGTCCAGGCCAGAAGCTGTTATCCACTGCTGCAAACACCACGTCAAACCTCATCAACACCTGCAAGAACACATGCTAAGGTGAAGCTAACCGCTAAGGACCCCCCCCGAACCCAGAGTGAGGATGTGTGAGTCGCCGCCGCCGACCGAAGCAGCACAAAATTAGAATTTGGAGGACCGGTAACCAAAGCAAGATGGACAGGCTTGTAGCATCCTTCATAGTAGAGGTAATGTTGCCCATTTGCACAGTGGAATCACCATCGCATCGTTCAGATGATATACTGCGCAAAATACAGATAGCAGGAGACAGAGGACAGCCATGGTCAGAGCTATCTGGATCAGTCTTATGCGACAATGGAAACTGAACTAAGAGAACATTTGAAACTTTAGCAGTCTGCGTGATCTGCCTGTAGGGAGGGCGGGCCGGCCCTGCGAGAGTAAAGTACGAGAGTAACGAGAAAGTAAGATGTACTTATGTAGAGAGAACGAAGTAGTGTAAATATATTTTTTTTAAAGTAATAGTAAAGTCTATATTTTTTTTTTAAGTAACGACCCCATCTCGCAGTAACCACCACAAGGGCCAACCAAAATCCAGACATGCTGCTCAGATACTGACGTCTTATTTTAACTTTTATTGAGAAAAGTCAAAAAAAAATTTACCTGTCATATCCCTAGTTTAAACTAGTCTATATATATATATTATATATATATATATATAATATATATATCTTCATAATTGATATATATATTATATAGAATCTTATGCTATCTATCATATAATCAAGTGTCTGTGTTGTGGTGTTCCCTCTGTGTGTGTGTGTGGTGTGGTGTGTGTGTGCTGTGTGTGTGTGTGGGTGTGTGTGTGTGTGTGTGGTTGTGTGTCGTGTGGTGTGTGTGTGTGGTGGTCGGTTGTGTTCTGGTAGTGTGTGTGAGTAGGTGTGTGTGTGGGTGTGTGTGTGTGTGGTGGGGTGGTGGTTGGGTGTGTGGTGGTGTGTGTGTGTGTGTGTGTGTGTGTGTCAGGTTGTGTTCACCATCAGTGAGCTGGAGCAGAGGATTCACCTCCCTCTGCTGATGAGCCGCTTCTCCTACAGCGTCTACAGAGGAAGCTGAGAGCTGCTGCTTCATTCGTATTAGTAACACACATGTATTATTTGTTGACTGTTGAAGTTGAAATACTGGATTTTAGAATTGGTTGTGTTTTAGATGTGCATACATTATACATTTTAAAGAAAAAATGACATGCCAGTTTCAGCGTCTTTACTGTCTGAATGACCCTAAAAACAACTATATGACTTTGGGATCATGACAAACAAGTAATAAGAATATTTGACCATATGCTGTGTGAAATTGAAACCATGAAACCTTGAAATAGTAATGCATAATTTCCCCTGTAATCACTGTTATTGTCATTATTAATTGGCTAAATACATCAAATCATTAATGTATTAGTTGATAAAATGATCCACAGATACATTAACAATACACATGTGTTGTAATATGATTTTCCAAGTCAATTTGTTGCGTTATATAAAACATAAACGTGAAAAAAAAGTCATCCTATGTTTTTATAACAGAGAAGAAGTTCAGTTACATGAGACTGAAGAAAGCGAGTGAAATCTGTCTCAGCCAATCAGAGGGCATGTCTGTCCCGAGGACCCATGTCTGGCTTTTCTGATGCCTGAGTGTAATAAGGTCTTTTAAAAAAGAAATAAATCAGTTTTGTAATGATTACATTGAAAATATACCTTGTTGTGTAATAAAAAGATCATATATGACTTATATAGGTTTTCAAATGTATACATATATTTATTTTTAGGATATTTTCCGACAGGCGTTCGCGAGTTCGCCTCAGAGGGGCTTTACATCATCCTCTCGTTGACATTACTCGCTCTTATTCAATAACACTTCAACTCGATGGAGTTCACGGAGCGAAATTAGACCAAGAATCGTTGTTTTTTGGTTATAAAAAGTGCACTCGGTGCTCTGGCAGGATGTCCCAGCTGCTGAGGCTTCTCTCCACGGCCTCCCTGCCTCTCTTCCGGGCAGGAGGAGCCCGGGCTCGGCTGTCTGCGGTGCTCTCTGGACGGCTCTTCTCCGGATACAGGAGCTCCGCTGCGACGGTAGGTGAAGGTGGACGATCCTGGAGGAATGAACGGATCTAAACAGTGACCTAACTATCAGTATTTCATCTCCTCTTAAACGTTGATTTGTCTTAATATGTAGGTAGATGTTGTATCCTTTATGTGTGTGCTCCTGTTGGAAGTTAGCTAGGTTAAAACGTTAGCGTTCATTTGCCCTAATATCTAATAATAATATTGCATTTATAAAGCGCTTTTCCTGGTGCTCAAAGCGTTTACAAGCAAGTACAACACAAATAACAACAAAAGTGCTAAGCTAGGTGGAATAAGGGCGAGGGGTTAGTGGATTAGGAGTTGAAGGCAAGAGTGAAAAGGTGAGTTTTGAGGGATTGTTTGGCGGATCTGACGGGGCTGGGGAGGGAGATCCAGAGTGAGGGGGAGGCTGCTGCGAAGGCTCTGTCACCCCAGGTCCGGAGCTTTGTCCTGATGGGCTGCAGACAGTAGGTTAGGGTCAGCAGACTTCAGGCCACGGGTGGGGGTGTGTCGTTGGATGAGGTCACAGAGGTAGGGGGGGGCAAGGTTGTTGAGGGCTTTGAAAGTGAAAAGTAATATTTTAAAGTCAATGCGGTGTTTGATGGGGAGCCAGTGGAGGTCATGGAGGATAGGGGTGATGTGGTCGGAGCGTCGGGTGGAGGTGAGCAAGCGGGCAGCTGAGTTTTGGACATATTGAAGTAGTTTTTTTAGTATGAATGCAGGTGATCCAAAAAGTATGCTGTTGCAGTAATCCAGTCGGGATGTTATGAAGGCATGGATCAGAGTTTCAGCAGCGGTCGATGAGAGGGAGGGTCTGATGCGGGCGATGGTCTTTAAATGGAAGAAAGCGTTTTTGAGGGTGGGGGTCGAGGATGATGCCAAGGTTACGGATGTGAGTGGCAATGGAGCCGTCGATGGTATCCACATTTCATCCCCAGATTCAAGATGTAAGCATCCATTTGACTTAATATCTAGATAATGTATCCTATCTCAGTGACTCAATCTCCTGTTGGAAGTTATCTAGATAAAAACCTAAGTGTTAATTTGTCTAAATATCTAGATTATTTATCCTATATGTGTATTCTCCTGTTGGAAGTTAGCTAGAAAAGCGTTCATTCGTCCTATTATCTAGATTATGTATCCTATCCCAGTGACTCAATTGTCTTCATTTCATCCCCAGATTCAAGATGTAAAGGCTTTAAAGTCATATTCACAGCTACAGTGTAGAAATGGCAATGACAAACTAAAGTCCCAAGCTCCTCCAACAATGCAACCTAGTTATAAAGGACATACAACAATAAAAAAAATAAGAAAGATTAGAATTTAAGCGTTGATTTGTCTTAATATCTAGGTTATGTATCCTATATGTGTCTTCTCCTGTCGGAAATTAGCTATATTAATATGTAATACTTCTCACACCTCTGCTGACAACATTAACCTCACTTCATTTTTAGATAACAAACCCTCCACTGTCCTGCTGTTATAGCCTCAGTCTGTTTGTGTTATTACTGACTTCTGAACTAACCTACCTAATGACAGATACAACCAATCATAAAATCATTACTACCACTTTGTACAATGTGCTTAGAGTCAGGTTCTTTCCGGGCCAACAACCGGGCTGAGTCGGGCTGAGTATGCTAAACTAGTGAGAGAATTGCTGGCTAGGCGGCTAGAACTACAACAAGATGGACATATTTGACCGTGATTTAATTGTAATACACGTTTCAAAATGATGCCGAAGTAACAACATACTGATACCGGTTAGTAAAAACCATGAATTAATGCTTTGACAAGTCTGCAGACAGACGGCAGGCGAAACACCTTTTAAAATGCGTGTTGTCTAAATGGAGATTGGCTAAGCTAACGCAGTATATGCTCCGACCGTCCACACTCACAACAACGGCCTATACAGACATAAATAAAGCAGCGACTGTATTCACCATGACATAGACAGTCTGTGGTTTGTACTTGTTTAACTTTTGTCTAGTTTCTGAACAGATATGAGGAGCTGTGAGCTCTGAGTGCTAACAGCTAACGGCTGATGTTGGTTTTGTGTTTCGCATTGAAGATGACGCCGCCTACACTGCGTTACTATAGTTACTACCCCAGCTACTAAGGCCTCCTTCACACGGGAACGTTTGCGTTTATGCACAGTATGCGTATTCAAAAAAGTCCTCCGTTCACATGCATTCGTTTCATTTAACGTGTCTGTTCAAACGAGACCGCTGGAAACGCTGTAGTACATATGCCAGGACTGTAAGTGGCGCTGTAACTTCCGCCAAAATACACCAAAAGCAGCGAAGAAGAGCAGCCCCGCAGCAATGTTGCCATGGCTACCCTTCTGTTTATGCCTCGCGGTGTATTTAGCAACATGTAGTAGTTCATGTAATTCTCCATGTCCACTTGTTGCTGATGGTTGTGGTAGAGGAGCTGTAGATTTTGCACTAATATCTGTAGCATGGTCAGTAGCAGTAGCACTAGCAGTAGCTACTGACAGGAGGAAGTGTGTGTGGCGATTGCTGGTATTCAGCGGGATATAGTCATTTCCTCCGCATGTAAATATATGGATAAATGCAACGGGGAAGTTAACTGAAAGAAACCGAATCTGTGAATATTGCATCGACCGACCAAGAAGCACGTCTCCGTGGAGAGGACGCGCTCAGAAAGAGAGATATTCTCTACAAACACCGGGTGAGATCGCTCCTCTGGGACACGCCGGTCCTCGTGAACAATAATGGCCTGGATTAGGCAGTAAAGACAATTTTGGTGTATCGCAGAGCGGACTTTTTAATTTTGTTTGTGTTGTTTGGCTGGAAAATTGTCAATATAATGGATCAATGCATGAAATCTGACTCTGTTTATTTTGTTTAAGGAGTATATTGGGCGTTAACAATTCTGGTTTGCCTTTTATAATATTATTTCATTCAAGAACCCCTTGTGCGTTTAATTAACACAGCTATTTTTGATAGTTGATACAGCAGTGAGCAGGAGAGGCGGGGAGAGGCGGGGCTATCACTATTTTTTCAGGAAATATTCGTATAGAGGTGATTACACGGACTCCTTTGACCCCCCAGAGCGTTTCGTTTGCAAATCTATCCACCTTGGGACCCGTTATCGTTTGTGGGGTCAGTTTCTATCGGCCTCGTGTAAATAATAGGGCTATACGCAAGAGAAACTATGCAGATACAAGCAGTTTTCTCCTCGTGTAAACGGCACCTAAACTGTAATGGAAACGCAGCATTAAGTGAGCCTGTCCTTCCAAGGCATATGAATTAGACTTTTCTCAGGTTGGTGTGTTTCTGTGTACTGACAGGGATTGTGTTTTTCTTCAGAACATCAGTCGGACACCAGCTAACTTCCTGTCATGTCGCAGATTCCAGACCCTTCAGAGACGACTGTACTCCACTGAACCTAAAGGTGAGAGTCGTGTGTGTTTTCAGCAATACAGATGATATCATTCTGCTCATCCAGTGGCAGGTGGGTTCAGGGGAAGTAGGACAGAAATCAGAATCAGAAATCCTTTATTAGTCCCACAGCGGGGACATTTACAGTTAAGGCAGCTAACATATTATAAGGAGAAGTTTACTGCACACTAAAATATGCAACCCTAACCCTTTTACAAGAACCTCACAAATCCATGTTAACAAGTAAGACAAATAAAAACTACTATATTATGCATCATATACATTTTCAGGTGTATATCAGTTTGTAGTGTCTCTACTTTAAAGAGTCCTCTCCTGCTGATGTTCAGGTGTATATCAGTTTGTAGTGTCTCTACTTTAAAGAGTCCTCTCCTGCTGATGTTCAGGTGTATATCAGTTTGTAGTGTCTCTACTTTAAAGAGTCCTCTCCTGCTGATGTTCAGGTGTATATCAGTATGTAGTGTCTCTACTTTAAAGAGTCCTCTCCTGCTGATGTTCAGGTGTATATCAGTATGTAGTGTCTCTACTTTAAAGAGTCCTCTCCTGCTGAGGTTACAGTCAGTTGAGTCTTTAAATATATTTCAGATGCAGGTTTAAACCTTGGTGAAATGGTGTGTTCATGCCCAATGCAAAGACATGTATTCTGCACCGCTGTCACATGCAATGTCAACATTAATTCATAAAAAAAAGCTTTATTTTTCTTGTTAAAATGGTCTAGTTTAAGAAATGTGTGTGTCAATGTTGAGATGTGTTTTAACAACAATATCATTCTGATGTTTTTATGCCAATTTAAGATCACATTAAGTCTGGAGCACAGCGTTAACTTGAGTGCAGCGGATCCAAAGTCCAAGCATTTTAAAAGTTGAATTAGGACTTTTTACTGATCAGCATCATCATTTGGTTATTTCATTGCAGTTCAATCTGAAACAAATCAGTTTATTTATGGTTCGTACAGCTGTTATAAAGCAGGTTGATGGCAGAACAAAACGTGGTATCTGAGCATGACTGACACTGTAATGAAAAAGCTGGTTTGTTCGTTTAAGAATCATGTGTGTGTTTCAGATGGAAAAGGAGGAGCGACAGGAGGAGGAGGAAGGTCATCAGGTGGAGGGAAGAAAGGAGGGAATGACTGGTCGAGCCGACTACAAAAGGTTCGTCAAACTTCTAAAATAAATTCCCATTTATGCTTAGAGTAAAACAAATAAATATAACTGAGTAACCTGTGTGTCTCTGGCTCTTCAGGGCGACTTCCCCTGGGATGAGAAGGATTTCCGGTACATTGCGATCGCCGTGGCGGGGGTCAGCTCCGCTCTGCTGTATTATTACTTCAGAGACACGGGGAAAGAGATCAGCTGGAAGGACTTCATCCACCGCTACGTGGTCCGAGGAATGGTGAGCAGAGATGATGTATTTCTGTGTTGGACCCTGAAGGCAGCATCCCCCTGGTGTCAAACAAACGTTTATCATACTTACACGTTTAGTTCAGCAGGATAATCTCCACATATCAACACCACTTTATGATTTTAGAAGTAACAAGCTAACGTTAAAGGCTATAAAGGAACTACAGCACGGTCACATGACTTCACCACCACTAAGCTAAAGGTGGCTAATGTTGGGCTATAAAGGAACTACAGCACGGTCACATGACTTCACGTCACCACCGCTAAGCTAAAGGTGGCTAATGTTGGGCTATAAAGGAACTACAGCACGGTCACATGACTTCACGTCACCACCGCTAAGCTAAAGGTGGCTAATGTTGGGCTATAAAGGAACTACAGCACGGTCACATGACTTCACGTCACCCCCGCTAAGCTAAGGTGGCTAATGTTGGGCTATAAAGGAACTACAGCACGGTCACATGACTTCACGTCACCACCGCTAAGCTAAAGGTGGCTAATGTTGGGCTATAAAGGAACTACAGCACGGTCACATGACTTCACGTCACCACCGCTAAGCTAAAGGTGGCTAATGTTGAGATATAAAGGAACTACAGCACGGTCACATGACTTCACGTCACCACCGCTAAGCTAAAGGTGGCTAATGTTGGGCTATAAAGGAACTACAGCACGGTCACATGACTTCACGTCACCACCGCTAAGCTAAAGGTGGCTAATGTTGGGCTATAAAGGAACTACAGCACGGTCACATGACTTCACATCACCACCGCTAAGCTAAAGGAGGCTAATGTTGGGCTATAAAGGAACTACAGCACGGTCACATGACTTCACATCACCACCGCTAAGCTAAAGGCTAATGTTGGGCTATAAAGGAAATACAGCACGGTCACATGACTTCACGTCACCACCGCTAAGCTAAAGGTGGCTAATGTTGGGCTATAAAGGAACTACAGCACGGTCACATGACTTCACGTCACCACCGCTAAGCTAAAGGAGGCTAATGTTGGGCTATAAAGGAACTACAGCACGGTCACATGACTTCACGTCACCACCGCTAAGCTAAAGGTGGCTAATGTTGGGCTATAAAGGAACTACAGCACGGTCACATGACTTCACGTCACCACCGCTAAGCTAAAGGCGGCTAATGTTGGGCTATAAAGGAACTACAGCACGGTCACATGACTTCACGTCACCACCGCTAAGCTAAAGGAGGCTAATGTTGGGCTATAAAGGAACTACAGCACGGTCACATGACTTCACGTCACCACCGCTAAGCTAAAGGTGGCTAATGTTGGGCTATAAAGGAACTACAGCACGGTCACATGACTTCACGTCACCACCGCTAAGCTAAAGGTGGCTAATGTTGGGCTATAAAGGAACTACAGCACGGTCACATGACTTCACGTCACCACCGCTAGGCTAAAGGTGGCTAATGTTGGGCTATAAAGGAACTACAGCACGGTCACATGACTTCAAGTCACCACCGCTAAGCTAAAGGTGGCTAATGTTGGGCTATAAAGGAACTACAGCACGGTCACATGACTTCACGTCACCACCGCTAAGCTAAAGGTGGCTAATGTTGGGCTATAAAGGAACTACAGCACGGTCACATGACTTCACGTCACCACCGCTAGGCTAAAGGTGGCTAATGTTGGGCGTGATGACGTTTAGTCGTCTCATTTAGACACTTGTTAGCATCCGCCATATTTAAATTCACCAGTGGGGTATTTATTTACTGACGTATTTGATGTCGTAGAATAAAAATCGTTAAAAGCTCTTCAGCTCGTGTTAACCACAGACCTTATTTTGACCCATTCAAAAAATAAATCATTGACTAAATGGTTTTTTTCTGTGCAGGTGGAGCGGTTAGAGGTCGTCAACAAACAATATGTCCGAGTCATCCTGGCGCCGGGGGCCGACACCGATGCGGTGAGTTGTACCGTATAAAGCCAGCATTTCTTTGATGAAATTCAGTATATTTTGGGTTAATCTTTACTTTATTATGCTATCCATACTGTATGTAATGTTAACATGCTGATAATAGAACCAACAAAAAGCTCATTTTGTCATTCTGTGGATGTTATTTATTACTCTTGAATATACTTTTATATTAGAAAAATAATAACAACAATGCAGTATACATTTTTATATAAATATATATAATATATAAATAAGATAGCTGCTAAATCCTCAGAACTGTTACAGGATGTGTTTTTTTAACATTAAGCTGGCTCTTTTTCTGCTGTAACAATGTACATTTCCCCTCTGTGGGACGAATAACGGTATTCTGATAGGACTTTATTCTCAATACGTCTTTTCTAAAATGTGTGATATATGTCATGTGACCTGCAGAGCTACGTGTGGTTCAACATAGGGAGCGTGGACACGTTTGAGAGGAACCTGGAGGCGGCGCAGATGGAGCTGAACCTGGAGCCGTCGCACCGCCCGTCCGTCGTCTACAGCACGGAGAGCGACGGGTGAGTCAACACGCTAAAAACACGTGTACTCTTTCATTGGGCTGTACCAAAGAAGCTGATTAACTACGTTGATACATCGGTACATTAAAGAGGCCCTATTCTGCCTTTTGTATTCTACCTTTATTCGTCCCCACCGCTAAGCTAAAAGTGGCTAATGTTGGGCGTGATGACATTTATTCTACTCATTTAGACGCTGGTTAGCAACCTCCGTATTTAGTGGGGTATTTACTGACGTATTATATGTCGTAGAACAATACGTTATCCTGCCGGCAACATCTTGCAAGAAACAGCGTCTGAGGGCTTCTTAACATTTAACAACTTATTAACGTGTCATACCCACCTAACGGGAAGAAACTCAGCTAACTGACGATGTGAAAAATGTTTACCGAAACAAAACACAAGTCTAACGCCGAGCCTCTGAATTAGCACTAAGCGAAAAAATGCTAAAGCACTTAGCACAGAACTCACGGTAGAAATATTTTATACTTCATCGGATCTGCACAAACTAGATATCAGATGAAAGCTGAGATTCCACAGATTCCAATGGTATAAGTATCATCACAAAACTCACGGCAGCGAAAGCAAGCAAAGACAACACACAACTTCACTTTACGGGGCCAAAACGCTAAATACGTCTTACCTTTGCTGTTTTCTGATCAAAGGTTGTGTTCAATGGCATTAAAACACATATACACGCTGCTGAAGGTTAATCCAATGTCTCTGTGTCACTTTGAAATGATTACTGATAATCCATCATCATATTTATGGCAATAAGCCTAGTTTTCAGTTTTCAGAGCGTAACATAGCTTTCGGTTTTGGGCATGCTGGCTGCGCATCACTCATTCACCAATGGGTAACGTGTAGGTGGATTTTAGGAACTTCCCCCTCAATTCTATTGGCTCTAACGGTTCACAAGAGGTGTCAATCATCAAAATCGACCGAGGGGGGCCAGAGATATGGAAAATCCACCCAAATGACCCCAGAAGTGGTTTATTTTTGCTAAATCTCTCTAAAAAGGTCAAATGTCACTTGTTTTGCATCAATCTTGATACAGGGTACTTATTATATGTTGTAGTTTGGATTCCTAAAGCTTTTAGTCTACTAACCCATCATCCAAGGGTAGTTTTCACTATAAGTAATGTTTTTTCTTTGGACGGACACTACCATGTTCAATCTGAATTTACTTTAAAATAAAAACATCTATATTGATTCTGACTTTTCTACATCCAACTCACAGGTTTATCATTGCTTTGAGAAAAAAGATTATTAATTTAACCCTTTTAGAAGTGAAGTTATAGTCATTTGTTCTGGGCATGTCATTTTCGAGCCTGAGACCTGAAAAACAGGCTCAGGGCTCAACAGGTTAAAGTCTCTTCAGCTTGTGTTAACCACAGACCATATCTTGACCCATTCAAAAAAGACGGGTGAGTCAACACGCTAAAAACACGTGTACTCTTTCAGAGGGCTGTACCAAAAATAGCCGATTAGCTACGTTGATACATCGGTACATTAAAGAGGCCCTATTCTGCCTTTTGTGATCAGAATCAGGCCACGTTTACACGAGAACGAAACGGCTTGTATCTGCATAGTTTCTCTTGCGTATAGCCCTATTATTTACACGAGGCCGTAACAAACGGACCCCACAAACGATAACGGGTCCCAAGGTGGATAGATTTGCAAACGAAACTCTCTGGGGGGTCAACCGGCTCCGTGTAATCGCCTCTATACGAATATTTCCTGAAAAAATAACGATAGCCCCGCCTCTCCCCGCCTCTGCTGCTCACTGCTGTAGCATGGCCAGTAGCACTAGCAGTAGCTACTGTCAGTAGCTACTGCTAGTGCTACTGCTACTGACCATGCTACAGATGTTAGTGCAAAATCTACAGCTCCTCTACCACAACCATCAGCAACAAGTGGACATGGAGAATTAAATTAACTACTACATGTTGCTAAATCCACCGCGGGGCGTAAACAGAAGGGTAGCCATGGCAACATTGCTCCGGGCTGCTCCGGGGTCTTCTTCGCTGCTTTTGGTGTATTTTGTGGTGGAAGTTACAGCGCCACTTACAGTCCCGGCATATGTACTACAGCGTTTCCAGCGGTCTCGTTTGAACAGACACGTTAAATGAAACGAATGCATGTGAACGAAAGACTTTTTTGAAAGCGCACACTGTGCATAAACGCAAACGTTCCCGTGTAAAAGCAGCTTCAGAAAACCTTTATTCGTCCCACAGAGGGGACATTTACATTTTGTTACAGCAGAAAAAGAGCCAAAGACAGCTTCATGTTAACTAAGAAGCATGCATACAAACTAATGTATGAAACAAGTATTCCCCTCTAGTGTGTTCTAAAGGTTTTAGTGCATGTGAATGGTCTGCAAAGACACACATCCACAAGTGCTCTCCAAAGGGAACACGGGGATTTAGTTAAAGACCAGTGTTCCCTGATATTACAGAAGAAGTACTTTATTGATAAAGACAAGGCATTGTACAATAACAATTTATAAGAAATAAACAATCCAAAATGTAAACATCTAATAAAAGAACAACAACATCCCTCCTCCTCCTCTGTTTTCCAGCTCCTTCCTGCTGAGCATCGTCCCCACGCTGCTGCTCGTCACCATCATGCTGTACACACTGCGCCGGGGCCCCATGGGGGGGGGGGGCCGGCGGGGGCAGGGGGGGGCCCTTCAGCATGAGCGAGTCCCCGGCCAAAATGATGAAGGACAACATCGACGTGAAGTTCAAAGACGTGGCCGGCTGCGAGGAAGCCAAGCTGGAGATCCTCGAGTTCGTCAACTTCCTGAAGAACCCTCAGCAGTACCAGGACCTGGGGGCAAAGATACCCAAGGTACACACACACACACACACAGACACACAAACACGGACACAGGGACACACACACACTCACTCACACTCACACTCACACTCACAGGGACACACACACTCACACACACACACACACACACACACACACACACACACACAGGGACACACATACCAGGACCTGGGGGCAAATATACCCAAGGCGCACACACACACGGACACAGACACAGACACACACACACACACGGACACAGACACAGACACACACACACACACAGACACACACAGACACACACACACACACAGACACACACACACACACACACACACACACACACACACACACACACACACACACACACACACACACACAGGGACACACACCAGGACCTGGGGGCAAATATACCAAAGGTGCACATGTAGAAACACACACACACACACACACACACACACACACACACACACACACACAGCTAAGAGGTTCGGCACATCAAAAGGTGGTTACAAATGTAGTTTATTGTTAACATGTGTGTCTCGTTGTTAAATGTCTGGTCCTGTGATATTTTATTTTATATTATAATATATTTTGTTCCCAGGGTGCCGTTCTGTCGGGGCCTCCGGGGACGGGGAAGACTCTCCTCGCTAAAGCCACGGCCGGAGAGGCCAACGTCCCGTTCATCACCGTCAACGGGTCAGAGTTCCTGGAGATGTTCGTGGGCGTCGGGCCGGCCAGGGTGAGCTCAGGAAGAACCATGTTATAACCGTCTCATCACTGGACATTTATTTACCCGCACTTTCATATATCTTATTCATATATATATTATTATTTACTTTAGCTTTAAATAATCAAACATAATGCCGACATTATTTTCAGCTTCAGGATGTTTCCACTCTTCTCTTCAAAGAAAGTGATTTAATCTTTTGTGTTTCCTCGTCTGCAGGTGAGGGACATGTTCGCGATGGCGAGGAAGAACGCGCCCTGCATCCTCTTCATCGATGAGATCGACGCCGTGGGCAGGAAGAGGGGGGGGGGAAACTTTGGGGGTCAGAGTGAGCAGGAGAACACTCTGAACCAGCTGCTGGTGGAGATGGACGGTACGAACAACACTAGGGACCGAGCCCCGGGGCTGAATTATTAAAGACCGTGGTACCGTTAAGCTCTGACGTTATCGGTCTTTTTATCGGTACTGGAGATATCTAAAAGATATGTCATCTGTGTTATTGCTACACAAACATTATATTGCAGTTTCAGTGTCGCCAACTCCGTTTCTAATACGCAAAAAGACTGCAAAATGCGTCTATGATTATTTTTAGTATTTTCGTTCATTCCAATCCAGATGAGAGATCTCTCTCCCCCGTCTGTGTGCGAGGGGGCGGGGCAACACACACACACGGAGGAGATGGCGGAGAGAACGCGCTCCGAGGTGTGGTTAAACTTTACCCGTCTCGATGTGGACAATGCTTGTTGCCTAAAGTGCAATAAGAGTTTAGCATGTCAGGGCGGTAACACGAGCAATTTGTCTAAACATTTAGCAAAAGTGCTCCACATCCAGACGGAGGAATGCACCGTTTTCGACGGTCTTTCTAGTTGCTCTGTAGCCCCATCCACGAGTAACGTTTCCACGTCAGGTGTTATGTATGCTAGCAGCGACACACGGAGCTAACTCAATGATACAAACATGGGTTAATGATTAGAGGGAACTGAGTTATTTTTCTTTTTAAAGTTTCAGCTATTCTGTTTACAGTTCTGTCATCACATTATTTAATACGATTTGTTATTTCTTTTGAATCAAATAAAAAGCAATGTTAGTTTTGTTCACAATTAGTTTTGTTAGTTTACCTCATTTTTTCTCCAAAAGAACCGATAAGAGTACCGTTAAAGGACCGGATCGATAAGCGGTATTAATACAAGTAGTAGTACTGTTAAAACCTTAACGATAGCCATCCCTACTAATAACGCCTTTTAAAGGACATTTTAAATTCAAATGTTTAAGATATATTTATATGTTTTTTTATTTGACTGCTGTGTGAACATTACAGCAGTTACTTTAAAGGTGGGGTAGGTAAGTTTGAGAAACCGGCTCGAAATACACTTTTTGTTATATTCCATGGAATGCTCTTAACATCCCGATAGCAATGAATATCTGAAGTGCTTTGACAAAAAATCCATAAAGAAATATCATCTGTGGAAGCTGTGGTACTGTAAAAAGCACGACCAATCATCTGAGCCGGCCCGGCTAAAATAACTGGATGGCCTACCTGCCTGTCAGCCTTCCATCTGTGCACAAACTTATCTCGTGCCCTCATTGGTCATGTGCGCGTTCGTGTGTGTTGGAGGAGGGGCTCTGTAAGGAAGTGGCAGATTTTCTCCGGTTGTGTATTTTCAAATTCTAGTGATCTCGAGCCGGTTTCTCCAAACTTACCTACCCCACCTTTAAAGACAGGTAGAGTACTAACTGACTTTTTTTATCGGTTTTATTCACTTTTTTTAAATCTACTTATTTTTTCCATACACGTAAAAATAAAACAAAATGTTTTCCATACAATATAAATTAAAGAAAATAAACTTCACCCGGGGATTATTTACATTTTATTAAAGGTCTCCTATCATGCAAAAGTCACTTTTTGATGTCTTTTATTCATCAATATGTGTCCCCGGTGTGTCGGGGAACTCACGCAGCGTCAGAAAATAAAACCCTCTCTCTTTTCCTCCGTACCCAAATCTCTAAAAACGGGGGTACAACGGAGCTGATCCAGATTTGCGTCCGATATGACGTAATATCTGAAATGTGGACCCACGGCACTATCAGAAACGTTGCTATCAGAAACAATGCCCGACTGTTTTGGACGTAATATGGTCGGTGTTTACATTAGCATCGCTAACACTCAGAGCTAACCTGTACTGGAGAGCATGTGTGTGAAGAAGCAGGAAATAAAAAGGAACTCACCTTGTGGTATAACCGGCAAGAGAGAAAGCCTTTGAGCTCCATACTGTTTCAGAAATAATTCATGATATGGCGTTTCATCACGGCAGTATTTAGTTAATACGGTAGCTGCCGGGTCCCGCATGAGCTCAGACACCTACCTTTTAATTTTTTTTATAAAAAAAAAAATTGTTTTCAAAGCTTTATACCCCAAATCAGCACTTTTGAAACAGGAAGTGAAATAGAGGGATATGAGGCATGGCTAGAATGGGTGATCTGTTTGGTATTTTGAGCAAAACACTTCATAGACATGTTTTTTATATTTTTTATATATCTGAGACCTATGCTATTGCCTAAAAATAGCATGACAGGTGACCTTTTAAAGCACTCCTAAGATGTTGTCTTCATATTTAGCCTCTCCAATTTGTGTTATAAAGCAACAACAATGTTTTAGAGCTTGACTTAGTTGTTCTGTTTTTCTCTGCAGGGTTCAACACGTCGACTAACGTGGTCGTCCTCGCAGGAACCAACAGACCCGACGTCCTGGATCCGGCTCTGATGAGACCGGGACGCTTCGACAGGCAGATCTATATCGGTGAGTCCAACACAATTATACATTTAAATTATACATTTTTCTTCAAATAAAGGAACCACTCTGAGCTGTTTTGAGTCCTACTATAAGAGCAATCTCAGTAATGTGTAAACAAAGAATCCTCAATTCACGCCAAAATGTAGTCATGGCGTCCCGCAAGGCTCTGTACTCGGACATGTTCTTTTCCCCTTTTATATTTTCCTGAAGCTTGTTTTTTTCTCCCGTCTCCTCTCAGGTCCTCCAGACATTAAGGGCAGGGCGTCCATCTTTAAAGTTCACCTGAGGCCCATCAAGACGGACCCCACTATGGACAAAGACAACCTCGCCAGGAAGATGGCCGCCGCCACGCCGGGATTCACCGGTACGTTTGTTTTAAATTGGAAATATCGCCAAGTAACTTGCACACACGAGGAATGTGTCTTGGTGTACTTGGTGCAAACTTAAACACAGTTAAAGAAGGTTAATAAGTAAGAAAACTGTTATTACGGTGCAGTCAATCTGTTTTAACCTCAGGATGCTAAAATTAACTTTATGCGTCCTGAATTATCTGAGAGAAAATCACATCCATAATGTTGAATTTGAAATTATGCACAGTTTCTTTAATTTGCATTTGTCTTCATAGTGTTTAAAGTCGGGATTTGTGCACAGGTGCAAATGAACATTGAGCCACACTCATTTTATAGTATTAATCTATTAGTGGAGTCAACATTAATTGAAGGAATATTGATGTAATCCTTGTCAAAATTCCCAAATAAACTAAAGGCAAGGCAAGGCAAGGCAAGTTTATTTATATAGCACCTTTCAACACAAGGCAATTCAAAGTGCTTTACAAAAATGGAAGACATTATGAAAATGGCATTTAAAATCAGTCATTAAAAAGAAAAGATAATAAAATAAACATTAAAAGAAAAAATACATGGATAAAAGTTAAAAGTTACAGTGCAGTTTAAGATGTGAATATATCAATTAAAAGCAGCGGCAAAAAGATAAGTCTTCAGCCTGGATTTAAAAGTAGTAAGAGTTGCAGCGGACCTGCAGGTTTCTGGGAGTTTGTTCCAGATATTTGGAGCATAATAACTGAATGCTGCTTCTCCATGTTTAGTTCTGACTCTGGGGACAGAGAGCTGACCAGTCCCTGAAGACCTGAGGGTTCTGGATGGTTCATAATTTAGCAGGAGGTCAGACATGTATTTTGGGCCTAAACCATTCAAAGCTTTATAAACCAGCAACAATATTTTGAAATCTATTCTTTGACACACAGGAAGCCAGTGTAAGGACTTCAGAACAGGAGTGATGTGATCCACTTTCTTAGTGTTAGTGAGGACTCGAGCAGCGGCGTTCTGAATCAGCTGCAGCTTTCTAATAGATTTTTTAGTGAGACCTGTAAAGACACCATTGCAGTAGTCGAGTTTACTGAAGATAAAAGCATGGACAAGTTTTTCCAAATCCTGCTATGACATTAGTCTTTTAATCCTAGATATGTTCTTTAGGTGATAGTGGGCTGATTTAGTAACTGTTTTAATGTGACTGTTGAAACTCAGGTCAGAGTCCATGACTACACCTAGATTTCTGGCTTCATCTGTTGTTTTGAACATTGCAGACTGAAGCTCAGCGCTAACTTTTATACGTTCTGCCTTGGCTCCAAAAACCATTACCTCAGTTTTATCTTTGTTTAATTGGAGAAAGTTCTGACACATCCAGTCATTGATTTGTTCAATGCACTTACTCAGTGTTTGAATTGGAGCATAATCTCCTGGTGAAATTGTTACGTAAATTTGTGTGTCATCCGCATAGCTATGGTAACTTCTTTTGTTGTTTTTCATTATCTGAGCCAGTGGTAGCATGTAGATGTTAAAGAGAAGAGGCCCCAAGATGGAGCCTTGAGGTACCCCACATGTCATATTTGTCAACTCAGATGTGTATTTACCTATAGAAACAAAGTTTTTTCTGTCCTTTAAGTAGGACTCAAACCAATTTAGAACTGTTGCCGAAAGTCCCACCCAGTTTTCTAGTCGGTCTAGTAATATGTTGTGGTCAACAGTGTCAAACGCAGCACTGAGATCTAATAATACTAACACTGAAGTTCTGCCACTGTCTGTGTTTAAGTGGATGTCATTGAAGACCTTTACAAGAGCAGTCTCAGTGCTGTGGTTTGGACGAAATCCTGACTGGAACACATCCAAACAGTTATTTAAATGCAAGAAGTTACTCAACTGTTGAAATACAACTTTTTCAATGATTTTACCTAGAAATGGCAGGTTTGATATTGGCCTGTAATTGTTCATTACTGAAGCATCTAGATTATTCTTTTTTAAGAGCGGTTTAATGACTGCAGTTTTCAGGGCCGCTGGAAAAATACCTGAGTGAAGAGATGTGTTTACTATATGAAGTAGATCTGAGGCCATGCAAGGAAAAACATCTTTGAAAAATCCTGTTGGAATAATATCAAGGCAGCAGGAGGAGGATTTCAGAAGTTGAATAATGTCCTCTAAGTTTTTACCATTAATCTGATGGAATTGTGTCATGGTGTTTGAATTGATATTAGGTGGACATAGGGACAACACATTTGCTGTACCTGATGCAGAGGCACTGACTGCTTGTCTAATTTTCTGAATTTTGTCAGTGAAGAAGGAGGCAAAATCATTGCACGCCCTGGTGGATAGAAATTCAGAGGCTACTGACACTGGGGGGTTAGTTAGTCTGTCGACGGTAGCAAACAAGGCACGTGCGTTGTTTTTGTTTTTGGTAATGATGTCAGAGAAGAAAGACTGTCGTGCGTTTTTCAATTCCAAATTATAAAAGCCAAGTCTCTCTTTATAGATTTCAAAGTGAACCTGGAGATTTGTTTTTCGCCACCTACGTTCAGCTTTTCAACACTCTCTTTTTTCTGTTCTCACGGTCATGGCCTTTCTCCATGGAGATATTTTCTTGCCAATCACTTCCTTTACCGTAGTTGGAGCAATGGTATCTATAACATTTTTAATTTTTGAATTAAAATGATCTACTAGCTCATTTACTGAGATGTTAGCAGGGGAGAGTGTGGATGAAAAATTATGAGTAAACATTTCCCTAGTATTTTCTGTTAAATATCGCTTTGTGGTTACCTCTTTCTGAACATTTTTGTGAACAGAAAGAGCTCTCAAAGGAATGATCAGAGAGTGCAACATCAGTCACCACAACCTTTGAGATATTCAGACCCTTTGAGATAATTAAGTCCAGAGTGTGCCCCTTATTGTGCGTGGGCTCCGCCACATGCTGAGTCAGTCCATAGTTATCAAGAACACAAAACAGTTCTTTAGCCCCTCTGTCCTGGGGGTTGTCAACATGGATGTTAAAATCACCAACGATGACTAGACGGTCAAAGTCAATACACACTATAGACAGCAGTTCAGTAAAATCATCAAAAAAGCTTGCACAGTATTTGGGTGGTCTATAGATATTTAGGAACAGAGCTCGAGAGGAGCATTTCAGCTGAAGGGCCACATATTCAAAAGAAGCAAAGTCCCCATAAGATGTCTTCCTGCTTTGAATGGAATCATTGAACAAAATAGCAACTCCACCCCCTTTCTTATGCAGTCTTTCCTGACTCATAAAACTAAAGTTGGGAGGGGTTGATTCGATAAGAACAGCTGCACTGTTATTTTGTTCAATCCAAGTTTCCGTTAAAAACATAAAATCGAGATTGTGCTCAGTGATAAAATCATTGATTAAAAATGTTTTTCCTGCCAAAGACCTGACATTTAATAAAGCTAGTTTAAGTTTGTTAATGGAGGACCTGTACTCCCAGCGGCTCAGGAAGAAATCACTACGGATTATCAAAGACCCCCATCACCCCAGCCACAAACTGTTCTTTCTGTTGCCGTCTGGCAGACGTTACCGCAGCATCCTGGCAAGGACAAGAAGATTCGGAGACAGTTTCTTCCCGCGGGCAGTGAGACTGTTAAAAAATTGAACTGTTGAAACAACTTCAAACATTCAACTGCTACTCAGTAGTATGTATCTAATACCTAATATATATATATCATTCCAATAACTTGTATATAGACTCATACTGCACTATTCCACATCATAACTTTATTTCATTTTTATAACTATTATTATTTTTGTATTGCTCTTGCTCTTATTGTTATTATGTTATGTTATTATGTTGCATTGTTGGAGAAGCCTGTGACATAAGATTTTCAACTGCATAATTACTCTGTAGCTATGTCAGATTGACAATAAAGAACCTTGAATACCCTATCATTAAAAAATGTTGTGACAAGCTGTGGCTGACATGGAATCACTGCTAAATTTGATAACCTCATACAAACGTTTGAGCACTTCCTGTTTCTAAGCTGATTCACCGCTCTTAATCTATTACCTATCAACACAGATATCGGCAAAGTTACTGGCAGGCAGGGCCCCGGCATGTGCTGGAAAGAGTTGAGAGTGCCATATGCCCTTGAGCCTGGACCCAGCACGTATCAGAAAAAGTTTGTTGCGTTTTGTACACACACATCCTTATCAGGCTTCGGAGACTGCAGATGCTTTCTTGAAGGGAGGGGAGGTGGTTGACGTAGGCACGGTGATGAAGACGGGGGAGATGGTGCGCGTCTCTGCTTCGGTGATTTTGGTGGGCGTTGTGGAAGGGCGGGGGTAAAGGACATGCTGCCAGGGGGGGGAGGTGGTTGACGTAGGCTTGTCTTCGGTGATTTTGGTGGGCGTCGTTGAGGGGCGGGGGTAAAGGACATGCTGCCAACCCTGCATATCGCCTTCATGCGGTCATCGAACTCCAGGGGGGAGGGCGAGGGTGAAAGGGTGAGCGGAGAGTAGAGAGAGCTGGGGGATGAATGAAGAGTATCCTCAAAGGCGTTGACAGGGGGGGGTGACGGGCAGTGGAGACTCCTCCATTTGTGTCATAGGTCTCCCATAATCAGAACATTCCTCAGGCGTGCAGTGATACTTCTTCAGGGTTTTCTGCGCGATGTGTTGTGTCTTTCTCCTGTTTTGATTCCTCTTGCCGCTTGTCCTTGGCAGAGGGAACAGATTGCTGATGCAGGCAGTTGAATATGTTAGAGATAAACAATTTCACTCCTGACTTGTTCAGGCAAACTCCATCTGCCTTAAAAAGATGTCTGCGATCCCAGAAAAAGTTAAAATTGTCAATAAAATGGACAGAAACATTATTTTTAGTTTAGAAGCACAAATTAAGAGATGATTAAATCTAAATCATGCAACAACATGTTTGCTCTCCTTCTTGCTGCACGCAATGAAAGGCACAAATAAGTTTGGTTCCAAAATTAAGCGTGTTTGAACATTTGACCCGAGAGACTGGCGGCCATCTTGGATTTGATCTCTCACGGTCCTCACAGGTCAAATCTGACTTCCCTCCATATCTGAAAATAAACCTTATGGTATGCTCTAACTATGTTAGAAATGTCTTTTCTCATAAAATGCACAATTGTTATTGTTGTATCAATCTTGGACCTAGTCATAGTAACTAGGTATGTTATTGAATTACAGTTTCCAGAGCCAAGAGGCTAGTCGTCTTTTTGCTAATTATTCACATTAATGGCGCGTTTCCACTACACGGCCTCGCTCGGCCCCGCTCGGTATGGCTGGGCCTCGTTAGGACTGGCTCACTTTATGGCGCATTTCCATTACAGTTTAGGAACTGGGGCAGTATCTATAGTAACGCAGTGTAGGCGGAGCCGTGACGTGATCTTCAATGAGAACCCCAGAAAAACAACATCAGCCGTTAGCTGTTAGCACTCAGAGCTCACAGCTCCTCATATCTGTTCAGAAACTAGACAAAAGTTAAACAAGTACACACCACAGACTGCCTGTGTCATGGCGAATACAGTCGCTGCTTTATTTATGTCTGTATAGGCCGTTGTTGTGAGTGTGGACGGTCGGAGCATATACTGCGTTAGCTTAGCCAATCTCCATTCAGAAAACACGCATTTTAAAAGGTTCTTCGCCTGCCGTCTGTCTGCAGACTTGACAAAGCATTAATTCATGGTTTTTACTAACCGGTATCAGTATGTTGTTACTTCATCATTTTGAAACGTGTATTACAATTAAATCACGGTCAAATATGTCCATCTTGTTGTAGTTGTAGCCCCCTTGCCAGCGACGCTCTCTCTAGTTTAGCATACTCAGCCCGACTCAGCCTCGTTGTCTCGGCCCTGGCCCCACGATTTTATGAGGCCAGAAAAACTGTGAATTAGGACCCGCCGGCCGGTACTAGGCCAAGTGGAAACGCGACCAAAGACGGGCCGCTGACGTCACAGCCCTCTTAAACCGTGCTCCGCGCTGTAGTGGAAACGCGCCATAAGTGGGCTGACGCCAAGGTCCGAGGAAGTACAAAGAGGCTATATTTAGATTATAATAAAGTTAAATCTTTGTTAGTTAATTACTCCTAAAAGACGTCATGAGATAATGACCTTTCGACATCTGGAACATATCCAAGTTTAGGAGACCTGACAATGTTCGTGCGTTAAACATTGAGGTTGGTGTGCTCGCTAAATGTAAGGATTAGAGGGAGAACATGATGTGTGTGTTCATTACAGTCGCTATATGTGCCGGTGTGATTGTTGTACTCGTTGGAGCATTACTGTATGACTGCTTGAGAGCAAAGGTAATGTTTCCTCATTATTATTGATTGTTGGACAACGAAATAATAATTGATCAACTATATCTGTGATGTATTGATTCCTCTCTGTTTCATTCTTTCCTGTTGTGAGTGCTGAATTGCCACAACATTATAATATGAAAGCTTATCTAAAATGATGATGAATAAATAAACGTGATTTAAAAAAAAAAAAAAAAAGATTCTGATCTGATGAATGTTTGATGTTTCCCTCCAGGAGCCGACATCGCTAACGTCTGCAACGAGGCGGCGCTGATCGCTGCTCGACATCTGAACAAGTCGGTGAGCGGGAAACACTTCGAGCAGGCCATCGACCGCGTCATCGGAGGTCAGACACTCATAATATATATAATTCCTTTTTATAATTGTTATTTTTAATAGTGCTGCACAATTAATCAAACATTTGCAATTAAAAGAAAAGTCACTTATTTTTTTAATTTAGTTGTTATTGAGTTATTCGCGTCTGAAGCGCCTTTAGCTATAAAACATGTCCCTAACCCTTTTTAATATAAATTAGCATTATTATCTTATATTCATATCTTGTTATTTTCTTTAATTTTTGTATTGTTTTAATTGTGTGTGTGTTCAGGTCTGGAGAAGAAGACGCAGGTCCTGCAGCCGACGGAGAAGAAGACGGTGGCGTTTCACGAGGCGGGGCACGCCATCGTGGGCTGGTTCCTGGAGCACGCAGACCCCCTGCTGAAGGTACGCTCAATATCTTTAAATACTAATAAATAAATCAATATTAACCCGAATATATCTTTACAACATACTACTGAAGGTACGCTGTTATCCATCATCTACCAAAACCGGGTCACCCTCCAGAGAAAAATCTATTTCAGCCGCTTGTATCCAGACCTTGTTCCTTCTCTCACGACCCATCCTTCAATATCCTCAATATATAGTGGAGGTTTTGGCTGCATGTTGATGTGTCATATCTAAAATACTGCCCTTCCAAGAAGACATCATTTAGCTGAGATAACGCTGCACATTTTAAACCTCTGCTTGGACAAAATGGACTCTTATGGCGCATTTCCACTACACGGCCTCGCTCGGCCCCGCTCGGTATGGCTGGGCCTCGTTAGGACTGGCTCACTTTATGGCGCATTTCCATTACAGTTTAGGAACTGGGGTAGTATCTATAGTAACGCAGTGTAGGCGGAGCCGTGACGTGATCTTCAGAGGACCCCAGAAAAACAACACAGCCGTTAGCTGTTAGCACTCAGAGCTCACAGCTCCTCATATCTGTTCAGAAACTAGACAAAAGTTAAACAAGTACAAACCACAGACTGCCTGTGTCATGGCGAATACAGTCGCTGCTTTATTTATGTCTGTATAGGCCGTTGTTGTGAGTGTGGACGGTCGGAGCATATACTGCGTTAGCTTAGCCAATCTCCATTTAGAAAACACGCATTTTAAAAGGTTTTTCGCCTGCCGTCTGTCTGCAGACTTGACAAAGCATTAATTCATGGTTTTTACTAACCGGTATTAGTATGTTGTTACTTCGGCATCATTTTGAAACGTGTATTACAATTAAATCACGGTCAAATATGTCCATCTTGTTGTAGTTGTTGCCCCCTTGCCAGTGATTCTCTCTCTAGTTTAGCATACTCAGCCCGACTCAGCCTCGTTGTCTCTGGCCCTAGACCCGCGATTTTATGAGGCCAGAAAAACTGTGAATTAGGACCCGCCGGCCGGTACTAGGCCAAGTGGAAACGCAACCAAAGACGGGCCGCTGACGTCACAGCCCTCTTAAACCGGGCTGCGGGCTGTAGTGGAAACGCGCCATTAATTATATATATTTGTTGGCCTGCTATAAAAACTGTACGTCTCATTTTTACTCAACATAATTATGTCAAACATGTTTCATTAATGTTGAAAATGCTTCTAGATTTGGAAAAGTACCTGCTGTATTTGTACAGTTTAGCTAAATACTTTAAATACTAATACAGAAATAAATACTAACCCTAATATATCTTTGCATCATGTGTTTTAAAACCCAGCTCCTCTGAGCGTCCTGACGTCACAAAATGTCATTTAATGGTCTGTATGAAAATGTCTTTCTGTTTTATTAGGATAAATGCAAGTATTTGTGTTAAATATTATTAATAAAAAAAACTCTAAAAGTACAGGTTTACTCAAAACTGTGTTTTTAATTAAAAGTAATTGTAAAATCAAATTTTTTTTAACTAAAATGTTAAATAAACAAATATATATGATGATGATAAAATACAATAAAAGTGAAATGAATAAATAAGACAATTAAATAAATACATGTATTAATAAAAACAATAATACTAATTGATAATAATAATAATATAGTTAAATAAATGTTAATAGGAATAATCAAATGGCATCTTAAAGCAAAGATGCAACCCAGAGCTTTTATTAAAAAAACCCAATAAAGATAATAGTACAAAATACAAATCTTTTAATAAATAAAATAAAAAAGTATATTAATATTAATAACAATAATGTCCGGGGCTCTTGCATGTGTATTGTTGTGTACATATATTGCCTGTAACGTAGCTCTTTAAACGACACATCATATCATGTGGAGGAACACGGTTGTGTGTGTAAGGGATATTTAGTTAAGTAAAATGTGTGTGTGTGTGTGTGTGTTTAGGTGTCGATCATCCCGCGGGGGAAGGGTCTGGGCTACGCTCAGTACCTGCCCAGAGAGCAGTACCTGTACAGCAAGGAGCAGCTGTTCGACAGGATGTGCATGATGCTGGGAGGGAGAGTCGCTGAGCACGTGTTCTTCGGGAGGATCACGACAGGAGCTCAGGACGACCTGAAGAAGGTCACTCAGTCTGCGTACGCTCAGGTAACACACACACACACACACACACACACACACACACACACACACACACACACACACACACACACACACACTCACACTCAGTCTACGTACACTCAGGTAACACACACATACACACACACACATACACATACACACACTCACACACACACACTCAGTCTGCGTACGCTCAGGTAACACACACACACACACACACACACACACACACACACACACACACACACACACACACACACACACACACTCAGTCTACGTACACTCAGGTAACACACACATACACACACACACATACACATACACACACTCACACACACACACTCAGTCTGCGTACGCTCAGGTAACACACACACACACACACACACACACACACACACACACACACACACACACACACACACACACACACTCAGTCTACGTACACTCAGGTAACACACACATACACACACACACATACACATACACACACTCACACACACACACTCAGTCTGCGTACGCTCAGGTAAACACACACACACACACACACACAACACACACACACACACACACACACACACACACACACACACACACACTCAGTCTACGTACACTCAGGTAACACACACATACACACACACACATACACATACACACACTCACACACACACACTCAGTCTGCGTACGCTCAGGTAACACACACACACACACACACACACACACACACACACACACACACACACACACACACACACACACACACACACACACTCAGTCTACGTACACTCAGGTAACACACACATACACACACACACATACACATACACACACACACACACACACACTCAGTCTGCGTACGCTCAGGTAACACACACACACACACACACACACACACACACACACACACACACACACACACACACACACACACACACACACACACACACACACACACACACACTCACACACACACACACACTCAGTCTACGTACGCTCAGGTAACACACACACACACACACACACACACACACACACACACTCAGTCTACGTACGCTCAGGTAACACACACACACACACACACACTCAGTCTACGTACGCTCAGGTAACACACACACACACACACAGTCTGCATACGCTCAGGTAACACACACACACACACACACACACACACACACACACTCAGTCTGCATATGCTCAGGTAACACACACACACACACACACACACACACACACACACACACACACACACTCAGTCTGCATACGCTCAGGTAACACACACACACACACACACACATATACTCCCACACACTCTCACCCTCCCACTCACTCACACTGTCAATCACTACCCCCCCCCCCCCCCCCCCCAGGTGGTGCAGTTTGGGATGAGTGACAGGGTGGGCCAGGTGTCCTTCGACCTCCCCAGGCAGGGGGAGATGGTTCTGGAGAAGCCGTACAGCGAGGCCACGGCAGAGCTCATCGACTCTGAGGTCAGAGAGCTGATAGAGAGAGCCTATCAGAGGACTCTGGAGCTGGTGACTGAGAAGAGGGAGCTGGTGGAGCTGGTGAGGACACACACACACACACACACACACACACACACACACACCCCCCCCTGTCTGTGTTGTTAGTCCCTGTATTAACATCCCCCCCCCCCCCCCCCAGGTGGGCCAGCGCCTCCTGCAGAGGGAGATTCTGGACAAAGCGGACATGTTGGAGCTGCTGGGGCCGCGGCCCTTCGAGGAGAAGTGCACCTACGAGGAGTTTGTGGAGGGGACGGGCAGCTTCGAGGAGGACACCTCGCTGCCTGAGGGCCTGAAGGACTGGAACCAGGAGCGGGGGGTCGAGGAGGAGACAACAACCCCCCCTCAGGACAAGCAGCAGGCCGTGTAGAGCAGGGAGGAAAACAAGCGCTCCCTCCTCCCCTCCACAGGACAAGCAGCAGGGGAGAGAGAGGAGCAGGAACACTGACTGAGGAGGAATAATGAACGCCCTGAATTGACTGTTTGTTACAGGGTGTTTTCCAGGTATCGCTTCACTTTGTTTCCCCACACTTCACAGACACTTCTACAGTAAAGATATGGATCCATTTCGGGGGTTCATGTTTAAAAAAAAAGTCAATTTCAGAGCTTTAATTATTAATTCAAGGACGTAAAGATGAGGAAAACAAGCGCTCCCATCCAACCTGCTGCAGAAACACTGTTTGAGCTGGGGAGGAGATATAATGATGTACTCAGCGCCATATAGAGAGACTTATTATACGGCTCTGGATGTACTGTGTTTGCTTCAGGTGATAGTTAAGATAACGACGTTGTTAAATAAAATAACTGAATCTAATCCAGCACGGTCTCATGTCCCTCAACACTCACGATAAACGGCATGGATTTGATTGACATTTGGGACGGAGACTCGTGGGTACTTTCCAGTTATCATGTTTTGAAGTGTGTTATTTAAAACTGAAATCACTAAAACCATTATAGAAACATCTTAGTGTAGAATATAATATATATTAAGTTACAACGGCTTTCCTGTGGATTTATTTCAGGTGTTAAACGTCTCTGTTTCAAAGAAGACAAGTGGGTAAATGAAGAGCATTTATTATTCCAAGTAAAGTCTCCAGAAGGATCAGAAAGTTCCTCTGAATGTGGACTTTATTTAAGTCCCTCAGACGCTGCATCAGTTCCTCCTCAGTCCGACAGGAAGACGCAGACTGGACTGCGAGAAGGATTTCTCTTTTTATTTATGGCATGAAAGGCGAGTTTTCCCGCACGGCGACGACGTCCCGGAGATGTTTTTTTAGACGTGTAAAAAACGTGGAGAGTTGATGTGGAGTTATTTCCTGTTTTGACTCCATGTGGCGGAGGTGTTCTGTACAAACTGCTCGATGCTGGGACGACGTGTTCATGTTTGTATTGATTTTGTGCAAAAATCACAAGTAAATAATATCCAATATTCATGATTGCGTTCTCTTTGAAGGATTTCTGATGCTTTTACAGCAGAGATCCAACAACACATGATCGATAGTTAGTTTGCAACGTTCCCCCAAGAAGATCTTATTTTATGTTGTGATGTCTTTCCCCTTAAAGAATGTAAAACCAATGAAATGATTCTCCGGTAGCCTCGGCCTGATTCACGTGATCAGGTTTCAACTGATGTTCAACTGAGTGATTCACCCCCCGACTAAAGGGTCCCCAGAGTAACTAATAAAACATGTATCTCCATCTGTGTACTTTTCTAAGGGCTCCAATCACTGCTGACCAGAGGTGGGAAGTAACTAAGTACATGTACTCAAGTACTTCAGTACAATTTACTGTAGTGGTACTTGTACTTTACTTGGTATTTCCACTTATACTCAAGTACAAGATCTGAGTACTTTTACCCAAGTACAAGATCTGAGTACTTCTACTTTTACTCAAGAACTAGATTGGAGTACTTCTACTTTTACTCAAGTACAAGATCTGAGTACTTTTACTCAAGTACAAGATCTGAGTACTTCCACTAAAGTACAAGATCTGAGTACTTCTACTTTTACCCAAGGACAAGATCTGATTACTTCTACTTTTACTCAAGTACAAGATCTGAGTACTTCTACTTTTACTCAAGTACAAGATCTGAGTACTTCTACTTTTACTCAAGTACAAGATCTGAGTACTTCTACTTTTACTCAAGTACAAGATTGGAGTACTTCCACTAAAGTACAAGATCTGAGTACTTCCACTAAAGTACAAGATCTGAGTACTTCCACTAAAGTACTAGATCTGAGTACTTCTACTTTACCCAAGTACAAGATCTGAGTACTTCTACTTTTACTCAAGTACAAGATCTGAGTACTTCTACTTTTACTCAAGGACAATATCTGAGTACTTCTACTTTTACTCAAGTACAAGATCTGAGTACTTCTACTTTTACTCAAGTACAAGATCTGAGTACTTCTACTTTTACTCAAGAACTAGATTGGAGTACTTCTACTTTTACTCAAGAACTAGATCTGAGTACTTCTACTTTTACTCAAGTACAAGATCTGAGTACTTTTACTCAAGGACACAATCTGAGTACTTCCACTAAAGTACAAGATCTGAGTACTTCTACTTTTACTCAAGTACAAGATCTGATTACTTCTACTTTTACTCAAGTACAAGATCTGAGTACTTCTACTTTTACCCAAGTACAAGATCTGAGTACTTCTACTTTTACTCAAGTACAATATCTGAGTACTTCTACTTTTACTCAAGTACAAGATCTGAGTACTTCTACTTTTACTCAAGTACAAGATCTGAGTACTTCTACTTTTACTCTCAAGTACAAGATCTGAGTACTTCTACTTTTACCCAAGTACAAGATCTGAGTACTTCTACTTTTACTCAAGTACAATATCTCAGTACTTCTACTTTTACTCAAGTACAAGAGCTGAGTACTTCTACTTTTACTCAAGTACAAGATCTGAGTACTTCTACTTTTACTCAAGAACTAGATTGGAGTACTTCTACTTTTACTCAAGAACTAGATTGGAGTACTTCTACTTTTACTCAAGTGCAAGACCTGAGTACTTCTACTTTTACTCAAGTACAAGATCTGAGTACTTCTACTTTTACTCAAGAACTAGATCTGAGTACTTCTACTTTTACTCAAGTACAAGATCTGAGTACTTTTACTCAAGTACAAGATCTGAGTACTTCCACTAAAGTACAAGATCTGAGTACTTCTGCTTTTACTCAAGTACAAGATCTGAGTACTTTTACTCAAGTACAAGATCTGAGTACTTCCACTAAAGTACTAGATCTGAGTACTTCTACTTTTACCCAAGTACAAGATCTGAGTACTTCTACTTTTACTCAAGTACAAGATCTGAGTACTTCTACTTTTACTCAAGGACACAATCTGAGTACTTCCACTAAAGTACAAGATCTGAGTACTTCTACTTTTACTCAAGTACAAGATCTGAGTACTTCTACTTTTACTCAAGTACAAGATCTGAGTACTTCTACTTTTACTCAAGTACAAGATCTGAGTACTTCTACTTTTACTCAAGAACTAGATTGGAGTACTTCTACTTTTACTCAAGTACAAGATCTGAGTACTTCTACTTTTACTCAAGTACAAGATCTGAGTACTTCTACTTTTACTCAAGAACTAGATTGGAGTACTTCTACTTTTACTCAAGAACTAGATTGGAGTACTTCTACTTTTACTCAAGTACAAGACCTGAGTACTTCTACTTTTACTCAAGTACAAGATCTGAGTGCTTCTACTTTTACTCAAGAACTAGATCTGAGTACTTCTACTTTTACTCAAGTACAAGATCTGAGTACTTTTACTCAAGTACAAGATCTGAGTACTTCCACTAAAGTACAAGATCTGAGTACTTCTACTTTTACTCAAGTACAAGATCTGAGTACTTCTACTCAAGTACAAGATCTGAGTACTTCCACTAAAGTACTAGACCTGAGTACTTCTACTTTTACTCAAGTACAATATCTGAGTACTTCTACTTTTACTCAAGTACAAGACCTGAGTACTTCTACTTTTACTCAAGTACAAGATCTGAGTACTTCTACTTTTACTCAAGTACAAGACCTGAGTACTTCTACTTTTACTCAAGTACAAGATCTGAGTACTTTTACTCAAGTACAAGATCTGAGTACTTCCACTAAAGTACTAGATCTGAGTACTTCTACTTTTACCCAAGTACAAGATCTGAGTACTTCTACTTTTACTCAAGTACAAGATCTGAGTACTTCTACTTTTACTCAAGGACACAATCTGAGTACTTCTCAAGTACAAGATCTGAGTACTTCTACTTTTACTCAAGGACACAATCTGAGTACTTCCACTAAAGTACAAGATCTGAGTACTTCTACTTTTACTCAAGTACAAGACCTGAGTACTTCTACTTTTACTCAAGTACAAGATCTGAGTACTTCTACTTTTACTCAAGAACTAGATGTGAGTACTTCTACTTTTACTCAAGTACAAGATCTGAGTACTTTTACTCAAGTACAAGATCTGAGTACTTCCACTAAAGTACAAGATCTGAGTACTTCTACTTTTACTCAAGTACAAGATCTGAGTACTTTTACTCAAGTACAAGATCTGAGTACTTCCACTAAAGTACTAGACCTGAGTACTTCTACTTTTACTCAAGTACAATATCTGAGTACTTCTACTTTTACTCAAGTACAAGACCTGAGTACTTCTACTTTTACTCAAGTACAAGATCTGAGTACTTCTACTTTTACTCAAGTACAAGACCTGAGTACTTCTACTTTTACTCAAGTACAAGATCTGAGTACTTTTACTCAAGTACAAGATCTGAGTACTTCCACTAAAGTACTAGATCTGAGTACTTCTACTTTTACCCAAGTACAAGATCTGAGTACTTCTACTTTTACTCAAGTACAAGATCTGAGTACTTCTACTTTTACTCAAGGACACAATCTGAGTACTTCTCAAGTACACAATCTGAGTACTTCCACTAAAGTACACGATCTGAGTACTTCTACTTTTACTCAAGTACAAGATCTGAGTAGTTCTACTTTTACTCAAGTACAAGATCTGAGTACTTCTACTTTTACTCAAGTACAAGATCTGAGTACTTCTACTTTTACTCAAGTACAAGATTTGAGTACTTCTACTTTTACTCAAGAACTAGATTGGAGTACTTCTACTTTTACTCAAGAACTAGATTGGAGTACTTCTACTTTTACTCAAGTACAAGATCTGAGTACTTCTACTTTTACTCAAGAACTAGATCTGAGTACTTCTACTTTTACTCAAGTACAAGATCTGAGTACTTTTACTCAAGTACAAGATCTGAGTACTTCCACTAAAGTACAAGATCTGAGTACTTCTACTTTTACTCAAGTACAAGATCTGAGTACTTTTACTCAAGTACAAGATCTGAGTACTTCCACTAAAGTACTAGACCTGAGTACTTCTACTTTTACTCAAGTACAATATCTGAGTACTTCTACTTTTACTCAAGTACAAGACCTGAGTACTTCTACTTTTACTCAAGTACAAGATCTGAGTACTTCTACTTTTACTCAAGTACAAGATCTGAGTACTTCTACTTTTACTCAAGTACAAGATCTGAGTACTTCTACTTTTACTCAAGAACTAGATCTGAGTACTTCTACTTTTACTCAAGAACTAGATTGGAGTACTTCTACTTTTACTCAAGAACTAGATTGGAGTACTTCTACTTTTACTCAAGTACAAGATCTGAGTACTTCTACTTTTACTCAAGTACAAGATCTGAGTACTTCTACTTTTACTCAAGAACTAGATCTGAGTACTTCTACTTTTACTCAAGTACAAGATCTGAGTACTTTTACTCAAGTACAAGATCTGAGTACTTCCACTAAAGTACAAGATCTGAGTACTTCTACTTTTACTCAAGTACAAGATCTGAGTACTTTTACTCAAGTACAAGATCTGAGTACTTCCACTAAAGTACTAGACCTGAGTACTTCTACTTTTACTCAAGTACAAGACCTGAGTACTTCTACTTTTACTCAAGTACAATATCTGAGTACTTCTACTTTTACTCAAGTACAAGACCTGAGTACTTCTACTTTTACTCAAGTACAAGATCTGAGTACTTTTACTCAAGTACAAGATCTGAGTACTTCCACTAAAGTACTAGATCTGAGTACTTCTACTTTTACCCAAGTACAAGATCTGAGTACTTCTACTTTTACTCAAGTACAAGATCTGAGTACTTCTACTTTTACTCAAGGACACAATCTGAGTACTTCTCAAGTACACAATCTGAGTACTTCCACTAAAGTACAAGATCTGAGTACTTCTACTTTTACTCAAGTACAAGATCTGAGTAGTTCTACTTTTACTCAAGTACAAGATCTGAGTACTTCTACTTTTACTCAAGTACAAGATCTGAGTACTTCTACTTTTACTCAAGTACAAGATTTGAGTACTTCTACTTTTACTCAAGAACTAGATTGGAGTACTTCTACTTTTACTCAAGAACTAGATTGGAGTACTTCTACTTTTACTCAAGTACAAGACCTGAGTACTTCTACTTTTACTCAAGTACAAGATCTGAGTACTTTTACTCAAGTACAAGATCTGAGTACTTCCACTAAAGTACAAGATCTGAGTACTTCTACTTTTACTCAAGTACAAGATCTGAGTACTTTTACTCAAGTACAAGATCTGAGTACTTCCACTAAAGTACTAGACCTGAGTACTTCTACTTTTACTCAAGTACAAGATCTGAGTACTTCTACTTTTACTCAAGTACAAGATCTGAGTACTTCTACTTTTACTCAAGTACAAGATCTGAGTACTTATACTTTTACCCAAGTACAAGATCTGAGTACTTCTCCCCTCTGGTAGAGGTAAAGCCACTCGTATTAGTTTCATGTGATGCTTGTTAAATGTATGGAATCACCAAAGGGACAAAAAGCCAAAACTGCATTTGTTTTTGTTTTTCCTCGTACAAAACTCACAAATCAACAAAGATTCAAATCATCCATCTGAGCTGTTCTGAGCTAGAAGTCTTGGGTTGAAGGGGGAACAAAAACAGACCAAAAACAGAGATAGCTAAAATAAAGAATAAAATAGGTTTCTTCTTAAAACACATTGGTGTTGTTACTGCAGGTGTCCAGCAGGGGGCGACATCACTGCATTGATGTTCTACTAATTGATAAGAAGCTGTTCAAGCTAAACGTGTGTCTTTGAACACAGCATCACTTTAGTGACTGCATACAATACCAATTAGGACACACACACACACACACACACCAGGTAACATGAACTTTGTGACACCGTCTGTGTTCTATCACGTTATGATAGAAACAGGGACATTTCTGTATAAATGTATTAAATCTGTGAAATGTGAAACATCAGGAAACAAAGAGAGCTGAACAATAAATATTCTTTATATCAAAATCTGACAGAGTACAGTTTTAAAATGAAGGAGCTGCAATATTAATACAAATGTACTTTTCTGTAGAGAGTGGGGAAACAAACTGTAAAAACAGGCCAAAATAAATAGAAATGAATGTTTTCCACATTTTGAGCTAATGGGAGACATGTTTCCTGATTCTCTACAACAGAGTTAGTCAGACACAATTAAGAGAATAAAACCAGGTTATAAAACCAATAAGTTTCTTTAAATATCTGTAAAAAAAACTAATTTAAAATAACTTAAAAACCCACTAAAAATCTTTACCTTTTACAAAGAGGGTTTGTTATCAAATGTAATAATTCCAGCATGTTTAATCACCATATTTAATTCAATTTTATACCCAAAAGCTGCATTTATGGATCATTAACAATTCATACTTATATCAGAAATGTGACAGAAAAGATGTCAAACCACTGGAGTCTGATAAATATAAAATCATTGCCAGTGTTATCAGTTGCAAGTGGGAGTGGGAGTGGGAGAGGGAGAGAAGCAGCACTGTCTGCTTATTTGCAATGACGTAGCTCAAGCATTTATGCAACTTGATTTGAAGTCTGTATGTGTGAGGGGCAGCACTGTGTGTGTGTGTGTGTGTGTGTGTGTGTGTGTGTGTGTGTGTGTGTGTGTGTGTGTGTGTGTGTGTGTGTGTGTGTGTGTGTGTGTGTGTGTGTGTGTGTGTGTGTGTGTGTGAGAAAGAGAAAGAGAAAGAGAAAGAGAGAGAGAGAGCGCCAGGAATAATGCATCCCGTTTCGTGAGTGCACTGCACGCGTGCGCACTTGTGGCATTTTTTGGGATGACCTAATTCAAATAGCGTCCACCCAGTAAAAAAATCCCCACTACACCACTGGTTATAAGTCACCAATAAATACAAATATGTCGTTAAATGTAAGTTTCAAACCAGATTCAGGTTCATCAGAGACTTATTTTTACCTGAAAACTACAAAAACAATCTGGAAATGTCTTTATTTTTCCCGTTGAAAGTCAAGAGGATTCTTTCATTTATAGGAAATCTCTTTGAAAGCGTGACACGGGGCTGATGCGTTTTATACAAATCTAAAAGTGTGTTTTGTATTAAATCTTCTGGATGTGCTGCACTTAATCTGAGGATAAATTCAGGAGATTAATTCACAAACACACGTCTGCTTTCCACTAAATCATTTGGTATAAATAACAGCTTTGGCCTCTGAGTGTCCTGTTGACCTCATGGGAAAAAAAGTTAATGTTTTGAATGTAAAAGTCTATTTGGTGTACAATATTTCTGTATCAAAAAAAGCTACACAGATAATACATTCTTTGAGTGTAAAGCAACACGAGCTGCATGTCCGTCTATCAGATTTCCATCAGAGTGACGCCTCCTTGTTCCTCTTTAGTTAATAGTCCAGGAAAAGTCTTAATAAAAAGAAGAGGAATAGCCCTTTAAATCCTCCGCTGTGAGTCCTGTTGTCTCTGGAGGAAAGTGAAAATGTTCCTCCGGCTACCTGCTGGACGTTTGGTTATCCTGCTTCCTGATTGGTCCGTTTACGTCCAATGGCGGAGCAGCGTTGAGGCGAGCAGAGAAGACGACAGGATGCAGAGAGATGGGAAGATGGCCGCCACGCCGCCGCACTCCTTAGCATTTTCCTGAGAATTTAGACCGAAGAGTTCAACAGATATCTCCATTTATATAAGAATTACTACTCTTTTAAAGTGTTTATTTATTCATTATCTATGCACAGGGTTGTATTGACTGAATAAACAAACTGTCACTGTGGTTGTGAGCCGTGATGAAGAGTTACTCTGATCTGTATTTGTTTGTATTTATTGCAGTTCAGAAATACTTTGCTACGAGGAAAAGTACTGTGGAAAATACACAAAATAAGTCATAGTGCACTTTGTCGAAATAGAGTTAAGTATGTTAGAAAATATGAACAATTACTAGTGTACCGTGTCAGAGAAATAAAAAAATAAGAACAAGTCAGAGCTAGTATGTTTAACCTTTGGAAATGTAAAAAAAGGCAAAGTATGTTATGTCAAAAACAAGTTAAGTCATAGTATAGTATGTCGGAGAACACATAAGAGTCATAGAATAGTATGTCCAAAAACATGTAATGGCGCATTTCCACTACACGGCCTCGCTCTGCCTCGCTCGGTATGGCTAGGCCTCGTCAGGCCTCGTTAGGACTGGCTCACTTCATGCTGCGCTTCCATTACAGTTTAGGAACTGGGGTAGTAACTATAGTAACGCAGTGTAGGCGGAGCCGTGACGTCATCTTCAATGAGAACCCCAGAAACACAACACAGCCGTTAGCTGTTAGCACTCAGAGCTCACAGCTCCTCATATCTGTTCAGAAACTAGACAAAAGTTAAACAAGTACAAACCACAGACTGCCTGTGTCATGGAGAATACAGTCGCTGCTTTATTTATGTCTGTAGGCCGTTGTTGTGAGTGTGGACGGTCAGAGCATATACTGCGTTAGCTTAGCCAATCTCCATTTAGAAAACACGCATTTTAAAAGGTTTTTCGCCTGCCGTCTGTCTGCAGACTTGTCAAAGCATTAATTCATGGTTTTTACTAACCGGTATCAGTATGTTGTTACTTCGGCATCATTTTGAAACGTGTATTACAATTAAATCACGGTCAAATATGTCCATCTTGTTGTAGTTGTAGCCCCCTAGCCAGCGCTCCTCTCTCTAGTTTAGCATACTCAGCCCGACTCAGCCTGGTTGTTGGCCCGGAAAGAACCTCGATTTTATGAGGCCAGAAAAACTGTGAAATAGTACCCGATAGCCGGTACTACGCCAAGTGGAAACGCAACCAAAAACGGGCCGGGCCGGGCATGGCACGGCACGCTTAAAGCGAGCTCCGCGCTGTAGTGGAAATGCGCCATAAGAGTCATAGTATAGTATGTCGGAGAACATGAAAAAGTCATAGAATAGTATGTCGAAAAACATGTAAAATTCATAAAACGTGTGAGTCATAGTTTAGTATGTCGAAGAACATGAATAAATGAAAAAAGTAAGTTTAAATTGACTTAAAAGAAAACTGTGAAAGAAACAAAGTATAGTAATAATGATAAATATATTTTTAATGAATTTTCCTCCAGTTTTCTCACATACTATTAATATGTTGTACATGTAATAGAGTATCAATATGTCAGACACTGACCTTGGGGTGGTACGCGTGGCAGGACTCCGGTCTCCTCCTCACCTTCTGGGACTTCATCCTGTTGCACTTCACTGTGGCGTTATGTTCACTGACGTTAGGGAAAACACAACCATGGCATGTACCTGAACTCTGCACACAATACAATGCATTTCAATCTAATCTAATTTAATCTAAAAGGACATGCATGTAGAATCAGAAATCCTTTATTAGTCCCACATACACTGTACAGTATTTAATTTACATTCTGTTTTTACTTTCATTTACTCGACTTAACTTCATTTGCATTTACTTCCATCATTGTGTCTCTTACACCATTCTCTTACAGTATTTGATTTCAATTTCTTCTTGTTGTTCTCTTAAGTGTATTGTATGTTTCCCTCTTGAAGGAACCTTGGACTTCAGTATTTATTGCCAAAAACTGGTGAAAAATGAGGAATTACACAAAGAACACTCAGCAAATAACCACTATATATACCCCCCTTTTTACAGAAAAGAAACTACTGTATATTGTTGTGTCCCTGCTGCAGTGCAGTGTGTGTCCAGCAGGGGGCGCTGTAGGTGTTGTGTTTGAGGACTAAAGGATATATTTGATCTCTTTGGGCTCCAGCGGGATGGGTCCGTACTGACGGGAGCAGTCGCAGTCCGCCTGAGCCACGACCAGAATCAGATTACTGTCAGGGATCTGCTGCACCACGAACATCCTGAAACACGAGATTAACCAATCAGTAAACATCCTGAAACACGAGATTAACCAATCAGTAAACATCCTGAAACACACAGTTAACCAATCAGTAAACACCCTGAAACAGACAGGAAATCAACCAATTAACCAATCAATAAACATCCTGAAACAGGCAATTAACCAATTAACCAATCAATAAACATCCTGAAACAGGCAATTAACCAATCAAATCTTATAACTAAAAGTCATAATATCGTATAGTAGCTTTTTTACATGTCAAGAAGTGTGAAAACCACCCACTATGTACAGTTAAACAGGTGTGTGTGTGTGTGTGTGTGTGTGTGTGTGTGTGTGTGTGTGTGTGTGTGTGTGTGTGTGTGTGTGTGTGTGTGTGTGTGTGTGTGTGTGTGTGCGTGCGTGTGTGTCGTACTTCTGGCAGCGTCCACACTTGATCAGGCTGTTTGCCTCTCTGACCGACGAGTCGTACATGTAGCCGGGGTACGCCGTGTCGCAGGGCTGCAGCGCGTCCACCTTCTTCGTCTTGTGACCTGACACACACACACACACACACACACACACACACACACACACACACACACACACACACACACACACACACACACACACACACACACACACACACACACACACACACACACACACACACACACACACACAATGTGAGCACTTAAGCAAAACAAACTCCTACTAATTTAGCATCTAGTGAATGAATGACAAACATCACAATGTCTTCACCCCCCCCCCCACCACACACACTGTACTCACTGGTATGATAGCCGGCCTTGGCTGATTGGATGAAGATGGATCACGGTGATGATGATGGTGATGATGATGATGATGATGGTGAAGATGAGGCGGCCATATTGAAACAGAGTGTTTATAAATGAGACACAGAGCAGTGATGAGGTGATTAATGACTTAAGGACAATTACCAAAATAAAACTTTAACTTAAAGGGGACCTATCATGCAAAATGCACTTTTGTACGTCTTTTATACATGAATATGTGTCCCCGGTGTTCCAGGGAACTCACCAAGTGTCAGAAAACACAACCCTCTCTATTTTCCTCCATACCCAAATCTCTAAAAAAGGGGCTGCAACGGATCTGATAAAAACTGATCCAGATTTGAACACTGTCCTGACGTCAGGACGGTGGCGCTACGGCTATTGGGCCAACTCTCCACCTATCAGGGGAATGTGGGGTTGGGCCACGGCCGGCCATTGCCGCTCGAAAGCGCTGGAGACGCTGTAGTACATATGCCAGGCCTGTAAGTGGCGCTGTAGTCTGCCACAAAAGCAGCGAAGAAGACTTCCCGCGCATGGTTACCATGGTTACCCTTCTGTTTATTCTCCGCTGTGGCTTTCTTTCTCCCTCCCCGAGGCAAGCGTTTGCTCCCGCTGCTTTAATTCAATGCAATCCCTCCCCGTCGAGGCAAGCACTGTAATTCTCTCCGGTTAGTCCACCAGCAGATGACAAACACCCACCTCTCCGCCTCTTCCAAGGAACGAGGGGACCGTGCGCTAGAGTTTCAGTTTCAGTTTGTTTCGCCGGTCAAGATGTCCGTTAAAGTTTAAATCTTCCGGACAAAATTAGAAAAGTGCCGGTCAAAGGTCTTCTTTGTTATGTATTGAGCTTTAAAACAAATGAATAACGACTCTATATAATAAAACACGGAGGACGGAGATCTCTTTTTCTCCCCCTCTTCTGACAGCCCAGCAGCTGATCAGAGCACGGCTCCCCTCTCCTGCAGGGGGGCGTGGTCAGCAGAATCAGACCCGTAGACAGCAAACAGCACATAGAGCGAAATGAGGCATGGCTAAAATGCATGATCTGTTTGGTATTTTGAAAACAGAAACGTATAAATATACCTTATATAGGTATGGCCCTACAATATATCATTTAAATATAGCATGATAGGTCCACTTTAACTTCGATATTTTAATGTTCTGGTAATTCATACTTTTAGTTAACTCATTCTCAGGAGGAAATATTACAACGTTGTTTATTTATCTTCTTATTCCCCCCCCCCCCCCCCCCCCCCCCCCCCATGGCCTCTCTTCTTATTATAAAGCGTCCATGGGTTTCAGGAAAGGCGCTAAATAAATCCAAGTTATTATTATGAATATGTTGTTGTTTGTTTTACTGCACTGCACACCGCACAACTCATGAGTTCATATGCACATTTAGATGAATAATGCAGAATATAAGTCGATGTATAAATGATGTATAATAATATACAGAATGTGATATAACCAGCAGAATACCAGCTCCTCCTCAGCAACAATAATTCATTATATAGACATTTATTTATTAATGCATAATCCATTCTGCACAAAGAGTACTTTTACTTTAAGTATATATTTGATACTGACAGTTATGTATATTAACTTAAATGAAAGACTTATGTATCGAGATTGTATTGATTAATTAAAGTAAAATATGTGACACGTGTATAATGTTTAAATGTCTTACCGTCCACAAAGTAGTCAGAATGCCAGAGGCCGCAGAAGTTAAACTCCAGCAGGAACCTGACACACACACACGCACACACACACACACACACACACACACACACACACACACACACACACACACACACACACACACACACAACACACACACACACACACACACACACACACAGACAGACACAAAAAAGTGAGAACTTAACCAAAACAGACACCTTCTAATTTAGCATCCAGTGAATGAATGACAAACATCACAATGTCTTCACACACCTAACCCAGACACACACACACACACACACACACACACACACACACACACACACACACACACACACACACACACACACACACACACACACACACACACACACACACACACACACACACACACACACACACACACACACACACACACACACACACACACACACACACACACACACACACACACACACACACACACACACACACACAGATGTAAACTCACATGAGAGCGTTGGAGAGGATCCAGCGGAGGATCGCAGCGACAGCGTAAAACGGCTGAAGGAGAAACACAAAGATTACTTAAAGGGGACCTATCATGCAAAATGCACTTTTGTACGTCTTTTATACATGAATATGTGTCCCCGGTGTTCCAGGGAACTCACCAAGTGTCAGAAAACACAACCCTCTCTATTTTCCTCCATACCCAAATCTCTAAAAAAGGGGCTGCAACGGATCTGATAAAAACTGATCCAGATTTGAACACTGTCCTGACGTCAGGACGGTGGCGCTACGGCTATTGGGCCAACTCCACCAATCAGGAGGAGACAGCCACGGCCATTGCCGTTCGAAAGCGCTGGAGACGCTGTAGTACATATGCCAGGCCTGTAAGTGGCGCTGTAGTCTGCCACAAAAGCAGCGAAGAAGACTTCCCGCCCATAGTTGCCATGGTTACCCTTCTGTTTATTCTCCGCTGTGGCTTTCTTTCTCCCTCCCCGAGGCAAGCGTTTGCTCCCGCTGCTTTAATTCAATGCAATCCCTCCCCGTCGAGGCAAGCACTGTAATTCTCTCCGGTTAGTCCACCAGCAGATGACAAACACCCACCTTTCCGCCTCTTCCAAGGAACGAGGGGACCGTGCGCTAGAGTTTCAGTTTCAGTTTCTTTCGCCGGTCAAGATGTCCGTTAAAGTTTAAATCTTCCGGACAAAATTAGAAAAGTGCCGGTCAAAGGTCTTCTTTGTTATTTATTGAGCTTTAAAACAAATGAATAACGACTCTATATAATAAAACACGGAGGACGGAGATCTCTTTTTCTCCCCCTCTTCTGACAGCCCAGCAGCTGATCAGAGCACGTCTCCCCTCTCCTGCAGGGGGCGTGGTCAGCAGAATCAGACCCGTAGACAGCAAACAGCACATAGAGCGAAATGAGGCATGGCTAAAATGCATGATCTGTTTGGTATTTTGAAAACAGAAACGTATAAATATACCTTATATAGGTATGGCCCTACAATATATCATTTAAATATAGCATGATAGGTCCACTTTAAATAAATCTGAATCTGGTTTTTAATAAAGTGGAATTTATACATTTGACACGATGAGGAATGTTTTTATTTTATATGTCAAGACAAATTGAGAACACAAAAAGTGTGTCAAAAAATAATGTGTCAATAACATATATTTTAAAAAAACATCAACAACTTAGAAGATAAAATGTCCCAGAATTGCTATTAAATTATGTTTAATTAAACATATTTCAACCTTTTACTGAGTTGAATATAACCTGCAACTGCTGTTTATATGAACAAAATAACCCAAAACTAAAAAAACATCATTTTCTAAACTATATTTTATTGGATTTTGTTTAGTTCAATTTACTTTAACTTTTGATTTTAAAGGTCCCCTATTATACTGTTTCTCATCAATATATCACAGCTCTCAGATATATACAGTGCTGATTCTCTGGCTGTTACTTTAGATGAAAATAAGGAGCCCCTCCCCACGCCCCTCTGAGAGATATTTGGTTACAAAGAACACAATAGCCGCGTTCACACCAAGTACTTTGCCGTATTTAGTGTGGGCACTTATTACCCCAGGGCATTTAGTACAGATCGCGTTCACACCGGAATAAATTCCCTGAGGGAAGATTACGCAAATGAGCCACTGACGTCACTTCGTCTTCTTCTGCTTTGGGTTTACTGGCAGGCCGCAAACCACTTCACGGCGTATACTGCCACCTGAAGTCCCCGGCCGGAAGTCCCCGGAGTTCAGTAGAAGCTGCTGGGACTCCCAGCAGCTTCTACTGAAGCCTTCAGAGTAAATCGCCAGAACGCCGACACCTCCTCATCTCCACCGCTCCCATGTTTTATTTTGTGTTGCCATAAGTTAGTCTCGCTGCGTTTGTGCGCTGGGAGAATGCTAATGCTAATAATGCTAATGCGAGGATAACAAAATGGCGGCTCTACAAAACATTTCAGAGTTGTACGGGGGCGTGGTTTGCAATTCGCCCAGCCAATCAGAACTGGGGCACTTTTTTCTTCCAGGAAAGTACCATCTCTCAGCAGGCACTAAAAATGGGGGTAAAAGTTCCCGAGATGAAGTGCTCTTTTTGGTGTGAACGCGGCTAATGGTGCTCTAGGAGGAGATTCAGGTGATAAGGTGGGGGGGGGTTACCTTGGTTGGTGATTGGCTAATGGTTACACAAGACAACACATCGTTATGACATCATAAAGTGGCCAAAATCTGATCAGCTCATTTTCAGACAGGTTTTTATAAAAATGGATCAAAAAGAGAGAGAATCTTTGTTCCTGAAACTTTCAGAGTCTCTTTACACAGAGGGGACACATGTTGATGAAGAAGAGACATGAAGAAGAGGGGACACATGTTGATGAAGAAGAGACATGAAGAAGAGGGGACACATGTTGATGAAGAAGAGACATGAAGAAGAGGGGACACATGTTGATGTAGAAGAGACATGAAGAAGAGGGGACACATGGTGATGAAGAAGAGACATGAAGAAGAGGGGACACATGTTGATGTAGAAGAGACATGAAGAAGAGGGGACACATGTGATGAAGAAGAGACATGAAGAAGAGGGGACACATGTTGATGAAGAAGAGACATGAAGAAGAGGGGACACATGTTGATGTAGAAGAGACATGAGAAGAGGGGACACATGTTGATGTAGAAGAGACATGAAGAAGAGGGGACACATGTTGATGTAGAAGAGACATGAAGAAGAGGGGACACATGTTGATGTAAAAGAGACATGAAGAAGAGGGGACACATGTTGATGAAGAAGAGACATGAAGAAGAGGGGACACATGTTGATGAAGAAGAGACATGAAGAAGAGGGGACACATGTTGATGAAGAAGAGACATGAAGAAGAGGGGACACATGTTGATGTAGAAGAGACATGAAGAAGAGGGGACACATGTTGATGTAGAAGAGACATGAAGAAGAGGGGACACATGTTGATGTAGAAGAGACATGAAGAAGAGGGGACACATGTTGATGAAGAAGAGACATGAAGAAGAGGCACACATGTTGATGTAGAAGAGACATGAAGAAGAGGGGACACATGTTGATGTAGAAGAGACATGAAGAAGAGGGGACACATGTTGATGTAGAAGAGACATGAAGAAGAGGGGACACATGTTGATGTAAAGAAGAGACATGAAGAAGAGGGGTTTATATAATAGGTGACCTTTAATATAACTTTTTGTATTGATCTTATGTGTTTATATGTGTTTCCTTTCATTATTAGATATTCTTCTTATCTTTAGCTGTTGTATAAATATATTTATTAAAAAAAATTATCTTTTGTTTTAGTAAAAGTGCAAAACACTCATTTCCCCCAGGATAATAAATTACAACATTTATTTTTCATATTTCTTAACAATAATTAAACCAAATAATAAATGTTTAAACTCACGCTGAGCAGAGGCCGGGCACTGTTGCCCGTGGTGATGGGCGACCTTACACATCGCCTGGTAGTCAAACAACGACACTCTGCAAAAAACAAACAAACAAACAAATAAACAAAAACACAAAAAACATGTAAAAGCCACTTCAGAAACATCTCGTATTTATCTCCAGACGTACACAAGATCTATAATCCTTCATTTGGTATTTTAATGTATCCATTTCGATTTAAAACATCAATATGAGTTTAAAAATACTTCTAATCTATTTTAGACTGAGGTCGTAGAAGTACTCAGAACTTGTACTTGAGTAAAAGTATAAGTACTCAGAACTTGTACTTGAGTAAAAGTAGAAGTACTCAGGACTTGTACTTGAGTAAAAGTAGAAGTACTCAGATCTTGTACTTGAGTAAAGGTAGAAGAACTCAGAACTTGTACTTGAGTAAAGGTAGAAGTACTCAGGTATTGTTCTTGAGTAAAAGTAGAAGAACTCAGAACTTGTACTTGAGTAAAAGTATAAGTACTCAGGACTTGTACTTGAGTAAAAGTAGAAGTACTCAGGACTTGTACTTGAGTAAAAGTAGAAGTACTCAGATCTTGTACTTGAGTAAAGGTAGAAGAACTCAGAACTTGTACTTGAGTAAAGGTAGAAGTACTCAGGTATTGTTCTTGAGTAAAAGTAGAAGAACTCAGAACTTGTACTTGAGTAAAAGTATAAGTACTCAGGACTTGTACTTGAGTAAAAGTAGAAGTACTCAGGACTTGTACTTGAGTAAAAGTAGAAGTACTCAGAACTTGTACTTGAGTAAAGGTAGAAGAACTCAGAACTTGTACTTGAGTAAAAGTAGAAGTACTCAGAACTTATGCTTGAGTAAAAGTAGAAGTACTCAGAACTTGTACTTGAGTAAAAGTACTCAGAACTTGTACTTGAGAAAAAGTAGAAGTACTCAGAACTTGTACTTGAGTAAAAGTAAAAGTACTCAGATCTTGTACTTGAGTAAAAGTCAAAGTACTCAGGTCTTGTACTTGAGTAAAAGTAGAAGTACTCAGAACTTGTACTTGAGTAAAAGTACTCAGAACTTGTACTTGAGTAAAAGTAGAAGTACTCAGATATTGTACTTGTGTAAAAGTACTCAGAACTTGTACTTGAGTAAAAGTAGAAGTACTCAGATCTTGTACTTGAGTAAAAGTCAAAGTACTCAGATCTTGTACTTGAGTAAAGGTAGAAGTACTCAGGTCTTGTACTTGAGTAAAAGTAGAAGTACTCAGAACTTGCACTTGAGTAAAGGTAGAAGTACTCATGTCTTGTACTTGAGTAAAAGTAGAAGTACTCAGAACTTGTACTTGAGTAAAAGTAGAAGTACTCAGAACTTGTACTTGAGTACAAGCAGAAGTACTCAGAACTTGTACTTGAGTAAAAGTAGAAGTACTCAGAACTTGTGCTTGAGTAAAAGTAGAAGTACTCAGAACTTGTACTTGAGTAAAAGTAGAAGTACTCAGAACTTATACTTGAGTAAAAGTACTCAGAACTTGTACTTGAGTAAAAGTACTCAGAACATGTACTTGAGTAAAAGTAGAAGTACTCAGGACTTGTACTTGAGTAAAAGTAGAAGTACTCAGATCTTGTACTTCAGTAAAAGTGTAAATGTAGTGGAGTAGAAGTACAACGTAGCATCAAGTAAAAATATTCAAGTAAAAGTACCTCAATATGATCTTAAGTGCAGAACTTGAGTAAATGTACTTAGTTACTTCACACCACTGAGTATTAAGTCTTCCTGACATCTCTTATCTTCACGTTTATAAACTACATTTCTTTTATCCTGTCGTACTTTTTGAACATCCCCATCTTGATCAGCGACGCCATCGTGGACCCGTCCACCTCCCCGAAGAACCGACCCACCTGAGGGACAAAAACTTTATTAGTTTGTGACGTCAGAGACACAGACAGCAATTAAATCAGGAACCGAGCATTAATGCTACGTAGCGCTGCGGCTAACATGCACATGAGAGGGGTTTTGTTATTGTTTTGGTTGCAAATGTCCAGTTTCGAGGCGTTTGAGAGCTGTTTTAAGGTATTACAAATTGCCAAATTGTACTAAAAGTGTCAGAATGTCGCTCAAAACATTTGAAATACTTTCTGATTACTTGTCGGATGTTTTCTTCATAGTCTGTGTAATTGAAATGTTATCTTTTGAGCAGGAACCAGCCGTGTGGCATGTTTTTGTGATGAATTGAATGTGTACACTTAACACTTGTAGTTGTTGTTATCTGAGCAGGAAGCTGAGAGGTGCAGCAGAACACAAACAGATGGTTTAAAGTGAGATTTCAAGTGAGATTTAAAGTCTCGCCCTCGGCTGCAGCACATCTGAATTATTCAGAGCATTTTGTCTCTTTCTGTTCGGCTGCTCTCACTTTGTCTCCTTCGGTGGATTTTACCCACAATCCTCGGAGGTTTAACGTCAGGATGCTGAGTATTAACGTCAGGATAAAAACATGACTCTCTGTTTACCGACGGGGGGCAGAGGGTAAACGTGCTGCAGGAAACTCAAATATATCAGCAGCCGGTTAGACTCCTGCCAGACGCTCTGCACTGCTACAGCTGCAAATCCTGCATCTTTTCTGAACATTTTTAGACATATTCTTAATTTGTTTTGGGAAAGTTTTCGGACATGTTTCACAATTTTCTTTAAGGATATTTTCTGACTTTTTTCCACATAATTTCTTAGAATTTGTCAATTTATTTTGCATTGATTTGGAAACTTTTCCCATAATTCTCAGAAGGTTTTGAAATACTTTCTGACAAGTTTTCACTTAATCCTTTCAAAATTATTTTACCACAGTTTTTCACATAATATTTCTGGTATTTTTTACGTTTTCGACACATTTCAGACCATTTGACAAATATTTTTGGAACATTTTTGGGCATATTTCACACATTTTAGGGATTTATTTTCCTACATTATTCTTGTAATATTTAGTCTTAATTCACATATTTTTGAAGATATTTTCACAATGTTTTGCAGCACTTTACTGCTGTTAAACATTGTATTTATTGTAACTCATTTTATATACTGTTGGCTAGTTAATCTGCAGCAATGCACCATATTCTGTACATTTTTCAGACATGGTTTGCATGTTCCTTTGGACAATGTTTGCATGATTGTTTCCATTTTTCAGACATTTTATGTAAATATATTTTATTGCACATTTTTGTTGACATATTCCATGTATCTTGAACAATTTATTTCGGACATTTTTCACTTGATTATCCGAATGATTGTAATACTTTATTGTTCAGTTTGTCACACACATTCAAAATCATCTGGAGATACATGGGGATGAATGACTGTCATTTCAAAAAGTAAATACAACTGAGAAATGTAGTTAGTAGTAGTATAAAGATGCATTAAAAGGGCACTTCGTTATAGTATAGTACATGATTGTGGATAATATTTAGTGTTTCTCAGAGTGACCTGCAGTCTTCAGACAGGATCTTTGCTTCTTTCTCTCTCTCGCTGCCCTTCCTCTCTACGACACATTTCTTTTAGTCAGCAGCGACTTCATTTCTGTCCTGATTAAATATTTACCGTGCCCTGCAAACAATACGAGCTGCACCCCCTCACCAGGGAGGATTCTGGGTGTTTTTCCACTAGAAAAAACTTCCTGCAAAGTCCAGAGCTCAGCAGAACGTGGAGGAAGCACTTTATCATAATATCTGCTTAGTAAGGACTGGCAGACATGCAAACGATGAAAAACGAGCTACAGTGAGATATTTACAATCTGCCGCTGAAGCTGTACTTACTGATCACACACGTACTATTAACATTAATTAATCTCACTAAAGATAATCTGTTCTTGTTAGAAGTTACAGTCATTTAAAAAGAAAAACACTTTATTAAAGCATCTCCCCTCCAGCAGATGCACAAGATAGATTTATGTCCTGAAACTCACCATTTAATCATCCTAAAGTGGCCGTTTTAAGTAGGCCAATTTGTGAAAGATAAAGAGAGATGTTCAATTCTGACCATGCCGCCTCACTCTGAAAGCAGAATTAGCCTGTAGCTTTAAGCCTGTAGCCTTTAGCCTGTAGCCTTTAGCCTGTAGCCTGTAGCCTGCAGCCTGTAGCCTGCAGCCTGTAGCCTTAGCCTGTAGCCTGTAGCCTGTAGCCTGTAGCCTGTAGCCTTTAGCCTGTAGCCTGTAGCCTGTAGCCTGTAGCCTGCAGCCTGTAGCCTTTAGCCTGTAGCCTGTAGCCTGTAGCCTGCAGCCTGTAGCCTTTAGCCTGTAGCCTGTAGCCTGTAGCCTTTAGCCTGTAGCCTTTAGCCTGCAGCCTGTAGCCTTTAGCCTTTAGCCTTTAGCCTGTAGCCTGTAGCCTTTAGCCTGTAGCCTGTAGCCTGTAGCCTTTAGCCAGTAGCCTTTAGCCTGTAGCCTTTAGCCTGTTGCCTGTATTCTTTAGCCTTTAGCCTTTAGCCTGCAGCCTTTAGCCTGTAGCCTGTAGCCTTTAGCCTTTAGCCTTTAGCCTGTAGCCTTTAGCCTTTAGCCTGTAGCCTGTAGCCTGTAGCCTGTAGCCTTTAGCCTGTAGCCTTTAGCCTGTAGCCTGTAGCCTGTAGCCTGTAGCCTGTAGCCTGTAGCCTGTAGCCTGTAGCCTGTAGCCTTTAGCCTGTAGCCTTTAGCCTGTAGCCTTTAGCCTGCAGCCTGTAGCCTTTAGCCTGTAGCCTGTAGCCTGTAGCCTGTAGCCTGTAGCCTTTAGCCTGTAGCCTGTAGCCTGTAGCCTTTAGCCAGTAGCCTTTAGCCTGTAGCCTTTAGCCTGTTGCCTGTATTCTTTAGCCTTTAGCCTTTAGCCTGCAGCCTTTAGCCTGTAGCCTTTAGCCTGTAGCCTGTAGCCTTTAGCCTGTAGCCTGTAACCTGTAACCTGTAGCAGCCTGTATCCTGTATCCTGTAGCCTGTAGCCTGTAGCCTTTAGCCTGTAGCCTGTAGCCTTTAGCCAGTAGCCTTTAGCCTGTAGCCTTTAGCCTGTTGCCTGTAATCTTTAGCCTTTAGCCTGCAGCCTTTAGCCTGTAGCCTTTAGCCTGTAGCCTGTAGCCTTTAGCCTGTAGCCTGTAACCTGTAGCAGCCTGTAGCCTGTAGCCTGTATCCTGTATCCTGTATCCTGTATCCTGTATCCTGTATCCTGTAGCCTGTAGCCTTTAGCCTGTAGCCTGTAGCCTTTAGCCTGTATCCTGTAGCCTGTAGCCTGTAGCCTGTAGCCTTTAGCCTGTAGCCTGTAGCCTTTAGCCTGTAGCCTGTAGCCTGTAGCCTGTATCCTGTAGCCTTCTGTTTCAACCCAGTCTCACGGCATTTCGTGTTATAGTCACACATTGAATTTATTGATTCGTGTTCACCAACACGATTTTCGCATTTTTTTTCGTGTCACACAGAACGATTTTAAAAGCAATGTATTTCTATTGTTAGTATGTTTCGTGCCTGCACCAAATAATAACAAATTGGAAGGACATTTTTTTTTTTTTAAATACAGATTTCAGTATTCTGAGGCTCTGAGCCATTTCTTTTCCTTGCGGACGGCAAAAAAACTCAGACATAATACAATTTAAAATAAACGGGTTAGGGTTAGGCTTAGGGTAAGATATTGAGTAAGAAAATGTTTTTATGAACCACACAGCTTCTGGTCTTCCAAGACCCGACCGGACAAAAAGACGCGGTGCAGGCACGAAACATACTAGCAATAGAAATACATTGCTTTTAAAATCGTTCTGTGTGACACGGAAAAAAATGCAAACATCGTGTTGGTGAACACGAATCAATAGATTCAATTAATTTCGTGACTAATAACACGAAATGCCGTGAGACTGGGTTGTCTGTTGGACAAACTCTGCATTTGCTGCTGCTCAACTTAGCTCAAAGCTAGTTAGACTGGAGAAACTCAGCAAGAGTTAACTATTAAACTATTTTTAGTGGAACGACAGGCGCCGTTCCTGAGGGTTGGAAGCTAGCAGCACTGCCTCTAAAAGTGACTAAATCTAGCATTGTTTTAATCAATTCTTCTGGATATTTACCCCAAAATGTCCAGAAGTTTACTGCTGTTTAAAGTTGTGCTCATTTTAACCTCTTTACAAACTGTTGGCCAGTTCAATCTGCAGCAATGCATCATAGCATCACCATATGTGTGTCGTTTGTCCTGTGAGAAACACTGGCTCTACAAAGTCAACTTTTCATGAGTTTCTTCAGATTTGTGACGATGTGATCTCCAGCATTTGACTCATCCTGTGTGTGACTGTGTGTTGTTTACATGTATCTATGAGCTGCGTGTTGTTTACATGTATCTATGAGCTGTGTGTTGTTTACATGTATCTATGAGCTGTGGTGTTGTTTACATGTATCTGAGCTGTGTGTTATTTATATGTATCTGAGCTGTGTGGTTGTTTACATGTATCTGAGCTGTTGTGTGTTTACATGTATCTGAGCTGTGTGTTGTTTATATTTTCTATGACTGTGTGTTGTTTACATGTATCTGAGCTGTGTGTTGTTTACATGTTTCTATGAGCTGTGTGTTGTTTACATGTATCTATGAGCTGTGTGTTGTTTACATGTATCTATGAGCTGTGTGTTGTTTACATGTATCTATGAGACTGTGTGTTGTTACTGGATCTATGAGCTGTGTGTTGTTATATGTATCTATGAGCTGTGTGTTTGTTTATATGTAATCTATGAGCTGTGTGTTGTTTACATGTATCTATGAGCTGTGTGTGTTTACATGTTCTTGAGCTGGGTGTTGTTTACAATGTATCTATGAGCTGTGTGTTGTTTACATGTATCTATGGCTGTGTGTTGTTTACATGTATCTATTGAGCTGTGTGTTAGTTTACAATGTACTAGGAGCTGGGTGTTGTTTACATGTAGCTATGA